TTCTTTTAAATTAAATTCCATCAAAACCAACTAAAGGACACATTTTAGATTACACCCAGTTAATCTTGGATCATACTCTTAACATTTGAGTCATGGAACATTAATTCTGTAAGTAGAAGGAAAGAGGCATCATATTCTAAGGATATACATTTTCTTTGCTGCTAAAAGCCCATTGTACTCTGAATGATTCTTATTGAATTTCTAGTTTATTACTACTTGTAACAAGTTGTTTTGTAATTTGGGATTTACTTTTGAGTTTTTTTCTGTTTTTTTAACAGAATTCTTTTCTATTTTAAGGATTCATCCTGTCTCCCTTTAGGGTTCCTTTCTGTAGACTACCCAATTTTACTTTTCACCCTTTCTTTGACAGTTTCATAAATTTCTAATCATTCTTACTGCTCTGGTGTAGATGCCCCACTTGTCTCCTGAAGAGCTTGATCAGACAGCACACAAAACTGCAGCCAAAGCCACATGCCATATGAAATTAGCTAGAGGAATATTCCACATGCTCCAGGCAATATTCCTGGTTTACACTGCAGCAGTGTTCAGCTGTTCCACGGTATTCTGTGGTTTTCAACTCATGTTAAGCCTGTTTTATACAACATACCCTAGAGCCTACTCTAATTAAAAGCCAATGATCAACTCTTCCTAATCTCCTTGATCTCTATTTGTACATTGGATCATTTTTTAAAGGCAGTTTTGCAGCTCTTCTTACATTGTCTGTTATTTCTTTAGATCAGTTCCCCAATAGGTCAGGTTTGGAATTCCACTCCTGTCCTCAGCTGCACTTGCTGTTCCAGCCCCACCAAACCCAGGCCACTTGGCCTGAAAATTCTGTCAGCTTATTTTCTCTTCCATTTTCCAGATCATTAAGGACAATATATCCCTGCAAAAAAGCCTCTTCAGTGTATCTGCATGTTTGTAATCTATTTTCCATTAATTTAAAAAAAAAAAAAAATTATGTCAAGCCAAATTTCCACAGTTGTTCACAGGAATTAATCTGTGAGACAGCATCCAAAGCCTTTTTAAAACCTGAGTGCTCTTGTATGTTATCCATGTACCTCTTATCCTTCCATGGATGCAATATAGACTGGATTTAAATAATTTTTCCTTGAAAACCCATTTTCCCAGTTAATTCTTTCCTTGATTTCTTGCAGATATTGAGTAAAAATTCAGTTATACACTGCCAACTAATTTAGGAATGTAAGTTATACTGTCCAGTCTATGATTTCTTAGCTTTTATTTTTTATCTCATTTGAAACACAGACACAATTTTTTTTTCCATTCTCTAGGCTGCAGTCTTATATTTGGGTAACTTGTATTCATTTTCCTAGCTCCATGTCTGCAGTTTTATAATTCCAGGGAAGAGCTGTAGAAATAAGCATTCCCAGTATTATCTGTCAGTCACCTACTCTCTTCTGAATATCGAATCAGTGCTTTCTTAGCCACATTATTACAAACACAAAGTGATTGTTTCATTTATGACCCTTCCTAACTGCTTTGGGACCATCTTTCCAGTTCTGTCCCCAATACACCTGTGCTAATTTATATTCAGACTCAATTGTCTGATTAAGTAATCACTTAGTTTCATCTCCCCTTCAACTTGAGAGCACAGGAACAGCAGTTCTTGTAAATTTTGTACTCTTTTTTCCATAGAACTGAGGAGAAACTTCAGTGTAACACACACACACACCCATGTGATATTTTAACCCAAAGCCTTATTAATTACAAAGGCCATATCTGTATGACCACTGGAATTTACTTCTCTATCTTTAACATACACAGTGGCCATAGTTGCAAAATTTGTTCCACAGAAACAGGTAATTCCTCAACTCCAGAAATGTCCAACACACCTTTAGATAAAGTTTTACACCAAGTAAAACTTCAGAATTAAATTGGGTTGTAATATATGCAGAAATGTAGTTTAGTGAACGTAAAGAAGCTGCAATTGTCCTGCTAAAACCTTATAAAAGCAATCAAACATAGAATGTACTCAGAAAGGAACCTGAGAGAATAAAAATAGGAAAGTTTTCAAGAGCATAATGAAATTCACATTATCAAAGGTTCTCTACAATTTTAATGACCTGTGAGTGCATTTTAATTAATTTAAATGTTTGAAGTATTACTCTATGCACATTCTTAGTCTAAGACTACTTATGCTATTGATACTGGCTTATTAAGGGTCAGATATGTAAATAGTTTAGACTAATTGTCTGTTACTACAATTTAATTCAGTCTCATCACAAAGACTGTAAAATCAGGATAATGCATTCTCCTAGGAAAAAATCCAGTTGCTTTCTCATTTACTGTTTCAGTGATAAACTTCACATCAAAGGGACTCTGTGTTTTAAATGACATGTCAGCTTTTACAGGATATTGCAATAACACAATATATGTCTGTCCTTGAAGTAAATGTTCTAGCTCAGCTATGACTCATATTTGCATCTACTTAAAAGCACAGACATTTGTTAGATCACTATTTAGCTACCAGACACAGAAGAGATGTTAAATCATTTCCATCACCATAGTTCACTGCTGTGTAACAGTACAGTTAATACAAACATTTATAATTTTGTCTCAAGGATACAATCTCATGACAATCTAGTGGCTTTTTACTGAATGGGATATAATCCAAGTGCCTGAACTTATAAATTGGATAAGGTGTTCACTTTAAACTTTTTTAAGCTTTAAAAGTTCACTTACATTTACTGAAACAGGCATGACAATCCTAGACAGTGAATTTTACCTATATTTTCCACATCTGCTGTTCTCTTTTTCTCTCTTTTGTTGTAAATGCATATGCAAATAGAGGATTACAATTGCTTTTATTTCTTCTATGTATTCCTCAGTGAACTCCGTGGAACTGACCAAATTCATGCTCTGACTCCTACTTCCTCTGTGGTATAAAGACAATTTAAATGAATCTCAATAAGTATAAATAATTTTACCTTTTCCAATAAAACATTTAAATAACTTAGGGAACTTTTCAGTAGGTGCTCGTGTTCATTCATGTTGAATCATCGTAAGAAAGGATCTAAATTACATAACACACAGCAGAACTTAAAAGATCTTTTGATACAGGTCAGAGGAGATGAGACACCACACAAGCTTGATTCCAAGTATTACAGAAATTCACCTAAAGAAGGGAAGGCTCTCCTTTACACCTCATCCTTTTGATGGGAACAAATACTTAAGACACCTAAATACTTGAATAAGAACACACTATTTTAATTCAATACATTGGTTTAGAATTGTAGTTCAATAAATATGCACTTCTGTTTTAAACACAATTTTAGCTCACCTCTTTGCACTCTGCACATTCATCATTCCCTCTGCCATTTATTTCTAACATCCTAAGCAGTAATTCATATGCACTATCTGAGCTGGAATCCTTTCTTTGGAGAAAGGAAATACTTAGAAATAATAGATCCAGGAAAAGTGAAGTGAAAAAGAGCTATTGTTCCATTTGGAAGTGGTGCTAATCTCACACCTAAAGTTGTAGATTATTGCTTAGCCATGGAAAATTCTAGTACATTCAAACATGCCCATATTTTCTGATGACTTATTTCTGGAACTAACCCAGTTTTCTAATCCATTGATTAAATAAAGACATCAGGGCCTTTGGTGGGACTCCTTTGGGAAACTTAAGATCTGTAAAACACAGATGCTTGTCAGAACCAGTCAACTAACTGTGCTCATGAATTTCAAAGAACAAGAGCCAGACAGGAACACTACCTGTGCAGAGTTTATATTTTGGGGTTGAAGCATAACACCACTGAAGTTTTCCATAAAAATCCTGATAACTTCAGTAGAAACAGAAACATAAAAATGATTGCTTCTTGGATTATGAAATTTTATCTGTTCACAAGTCAGAATGAAGAGAGGAGGTACTTCTAAGAGTCTAGCATTAAAGTTTTCAACCACTGCATAAAAAACAGGGAAAGGGGAGATGGACTGACTGACACATGGCACAGATACCAATAGATGTGGGGACAGTATGGAGAAATACTTTCTATACATGGTGAGAAATGTTTTAGTAAGCAACAGGAGAGATACAGACAGAGTTTTTTTTTGGTTTTTTTTAAGGGCTCAGGAGCAGAAAAAAAGAATGAAAATAGAACAAAAATGGTATGTTTGTCTGTGGAGAGGTGCACTGCCAAAGTGAAGCAGATGAAATGCTCTTGCAAAGCCAGACAGAAACCTACAAAAATTAATTACCACAGACATTTGTGGAGACAGGGAAAGGAAAGACTGAGGTTGCTTCTGACTATATCACCATCAACTAAAGACAGTTTAAACTCTAACTCTAGTTGTCAAACAAAAATAGAGCAATTGTAACAGTTTTGGGAGCTTCTGAAATTTTAAATATTACAATGTTTACCCCAATTTGGAAAAATAAAAAGCATTGTTATGAAGTCCCTAAATGCAACCTCAATAAATAAAACAAATGGAATAAAGTAATTATTTTCCATAATAAAAAAAATATACCCAATCAGGAATTAACTTTGATTTTGCACAACTTCCAAACTGAAGCAGTAACATACCTCAGATATACTCAGGTTTAGAAGCTCTGACTATCAGGAAGTTACCAGTTTTTTGCTCTTAGTCTCACAGATGTTGTCCCTTTTAGTCCCAGCTGGAACAGTTTGAAATGCTGGAAAAGTTTTCAAGCATTATGGAACATATCAGGGTTTCTCAAGTTACAAAAGAAACACAACAGAGCAAGAAGCAATTACTCTAGCAAGAAGTGCTCCTCCTCTGCTAGGTGATTACTTAGGACTCTCAAAAAGTAGACTGCTAGCTTCAATTAATCAGAGTTCCTGTAAATCCCTGAAAATTGTAACAGAAACTCGTATTAAAAATAAAAAAAAAACTTGTTACCTACCTGTCCTATTTACTTCAACTAAGCAAGACTTCCTCTAATCACATTGGACAGGTGTCTTTCAGCACAGCTTAGTGTAAAGAAGATTGACACTGTACAGCTGGAAAGAACACAGTACCTTTAGGTCTCTCCTGCCCATTTTCTTCTCTGCATCTTCATCTGGATCACAGGAAGAGCTTGCAACAACAAGGAATTTTTGCTGCCTGGCTTCCCGAAGAGCTTTCTGGGTGGGACCTTCAAACTCTTTCTTCCTTGTACAATCATGGCCTACTATAAAATAAAACCAACACAAATATCATCAGAATACTTTTTATTTACACTTCTGGAAGCTATCTCCTTATTTAATATTAGTCAGACATATGAAATGCTCAAAGAAACACCACTCTAAATAAGAAGATATTCAGGTTAGTGTGCAATCCATATAAACTATTCCAGGGCTACAGGTATCTCTGCTCCACAAATAATTTCATCTTATCTAAAGGGTACCCTAGACTTGGCCCCAAAAATGCAATAATCTTGCAGCACACAGAGAGTCACAGGGAAATGGATGCATTCTTTCACATCCCTCAGAGCCACAGGAAGCATCAGCTCTCTGCCTCCTATCTGGTATCCACCACCAATGCAATATTCTGATTTACAGCCCACTATTCCTTTTGTTTCCCTGCACTTTCTGCCAGCCCACATTTCAAACAAGGAATTACTGATGAATAGGTAACTCTGCAAAGAAATACTAAGCATGAAACACAGCTTTAAATCATCAGAGGTTGAAATGGATAGGATGAGGAGTACAGCACACGTGGAATACAGCACAGGGCATCTGCCATGACCTGGCAGAAGGGACACTGCTCTCTGACAGCCTTTGCATTGGCAGCTCATACAAATCCAAACACACTTTGGGACCTGTGTATCTTGTTGCAGTGCTCTGTTGGATGTGCATGGGTCTACATGAAAAAAGAATGTAATATAGATTTCCTACAGGATTTGGGCACTTACATCCCTCCAGTTCTTTGAAAAAAAATAAATCTCTGATTGAAAAAAACACATTACAAAGCTAAAATCCAGACTGAAACAAATATACTTCACATTATGCATTTCTAAATTATTGCTCCTGTGAAATGGTTTCATTAAGACTTTTACACCAAAATGCAAACCTGATGACTTAAAGCAGGGGAAACAAACCAAACACTCCCTCCACTCAACGCAAAAAAAAGCAGATCAAGCAATACAAAACTTTCCTGTATACCCAACCTGAGTACAATTGAAACTGGTGGAAAGAATTGTGCCTGGATTAAAAAAAACTTGAGTATTTATGTATTCTCACATAATATGTTTTAGAAATTGAAACTACTGTTACAGATATCCCAAAAAATAACTTTCTTTGAGGAACAGTAGACAGCAAAACTGTTTTGTATGTCTAATACCTTCTACTCACTTAGTAACTGCTATCCACTACCATGTTGCTCACAGAGTATTTGGTTTGTTGGTCCTTTTCAGATACCCACACCTATAAAGCAACAGTGTTATGACAGTTCCAGAGCTTTAAAACTCAGTAACTATGAAAAAAAAAGAAAGAATGAGTTCCAAAGACCTGTTGCACTTAGATGTCAACAGCTTAGGTTTAAAGATTTTCTATTTTGATTGCATTGCACATGGAATGGGCACAACCAGGATCAAGTACTTCAACTGGTGCATTTTAAATTTCTTTTTGCATGACCTTCTAACTGCTATTGCATCAGATCAAGGAAAGGAAAAGCACAGTTAACACTCTTAGCAATGAGTTAACTCAACCATGAGTAAAGAAACTCATTGAGTTCAACTTTTGAATATAATTGGGTAATAAATAAGCACCTGTTGTTTTTAGAAAATACAAGAAGACTACTGAGCAAGGAGCAGTTTTATAACATGTTTAGAACCAGCTGCTATAGCAGTGCTCACTTAGGTTTATAAGCAAGCCACAATCACCACTGTTAAATTCCTGCAGGCAAAAGGGTTCTTTTTTCAGAGCATCACTTAACACTGTGTTTTGATCCGTAAGGAAGGCTGCAAACACTGTTAATACACACCAATACCCTTAGTAAAACAACAGCTCTCCCTCTTTGATAATTAGATTCCTCTATGTATGATCTTGCTGCCATAACAGGAAGGGCCAGATTTGAAACACAACCAGTTTTTAATGCAAATCTCCTTAAAAATATAAAAAAATCCATTACTTTTTAAAAAGTAATCTGAACCCATAGCACAATATTTTTCAGAGCTGATTTCTGAGTGAGCATCAGAGGGAGAGAACCAGACTACAGGATGACAAAGTCCTAACAATAATTGCTAACTAATTCCTCTCCAGCTACTATATGTCCTTCATACAAATTTGAAACAAGCAAGGCAAGAATTAGGTTTCTTTAGGTGTCTTAAAAATTATTAGATGTTCTTCTCTTGAAGGATTTCTGTACAAAGCTGAACAGCAGCCTGACAGTGAGACAGCAAAAAACTGCTGGTAAATAAATTACATTCTCTGTATTGTGGATGCTATCTTCAATTGCTTGAAATGCAGAAGGATGAAAGCTCCTACATCAAATGGCTGAGTAATAAAGTCCAGAATAGTTGCCCTAAAATTAAAATTAAGTACTGTTAATTTTTTTCTACCTAGCTGCCAGATACAAATTTACAATGCAAACTCACTGTGAATACTAAGAAGTCCCCCTTTGTTCTTTATTGTGCACTGTATGACTCAGAGAAAAAGAGCAGCCACAAACTAAAACCAAATGCAAAATCACTGAATGATTTGGGCTGCAAGGTGCCTTAAAGCTCATCCACTTCCACCCCTCTGACATGGGCAACACCTTCTACTATCCCAGACTGCTCCAAGCCCTGTCCAGCCTGGCCTTGGATGCTTCCAGGGATGGAGCAGCCACAGCTTTTCTGGGCAACCTGTGCCAGGCCTCACCACCCTCCCAGGGAAGAATTTCTTCCTAATATCTAATTTAAATCTATAATCTCTCAGCATGAAGCCATTCCCCCTTGTCCTGTCACTACATGCCCTTGTAAAAAGTTCCTCTCCTGCTTTCCTGGAGTGGATGTGCAGAAGCTCAGAGTTCAGAAAATCCAAAACTAATTAAAAGCCACTCGCAGTGCCCTCTAGCCAAGCCAGCATTCCAGGTGTTCCATGGTCAAGTCAGGCTGTGGGACAAAGGCAGCCTGGGGAGCAACGAAGGGCAATCCCCTGCTGCTGAGCAGAGCCCTCCTCCTTCCTTCAGGCTCTGCACTGCAGTGAAAGCAGACACCAGCCAGGAGAGGCAGCTCAGCTTGGCCAAGGATCACTTCCCACTCTGGGTGTGCGCTGTCCTCTAACTCAAACATCCCAATGCACAGAAGTCAGCCCAGAAGACTGAAAAGTGCAGCTGGAAGTCTCCTTACAGCCCAGATTTCCACCTCCAACAGCAACCTGAATTTTGAGAAAAATTAAGCAACCATTTCTCCAGTATCCATGAGAAATCCATGTTTCTCAGGATTATACTTATACTCTCTCATGAATAAGAAATCGAGAGGGAACAGAATATGATCACCTTTCAAGAGGCAATATTACCCACTGAGACATGAGTATGACCTACAGAGGGCAATAAAAATTATGTAGTATTAGAGGACAAAGCACTGAAACAAAATGAATTGAAATACTGATTAATTTATGATACCCAAGGTAAATTAAAACTTGTAGAAGCATGTGGGTGGCTGATGAGCTTAATTTGTGTTGGAGACTGACAAGCAGTTTTTTATATAATTATTTATCAAATGGCTCCCTTGCTTATCACTTCTTGGTATTACAAAGGGCTCTCAAGATTTCTGGAGAAAGAACAAGACTGAACAGCCAGAGAGTGGTTTTTAGAATCAAACAAGAAATGAAAGTATGTTTAATATGAAAAGGAGACAGGTGGGGCATCCACACATGAGCACAGGGAAGATCCCACACTATATTTTCTCAAGCCAGAGTGTATCTTAATAGGAAAGGAAGGCAGTGCTTCCTCTTCACTCAATTACAAACACCAAAAAAAATAAAATAAACTTACTTGGCTAGTATTCTTTTTCTCAGCCTTGTGTTTTCTAGAGGAACTTTATACAATGGCAGTAATTCCATGAACATGGGAACTAATGAAGCTTTATTGTCAAAGGCTGGGGTAACTCAATGGATTTTTACCTGGGGTACATTACCAGTGCTAAAGGAGGTTTAGGTTTTAACACATGCAAAAAAAACCCAAAAAAACCCAAAAAACACATAAACCAACAAAAAACCCATAAAACCACAAAACAAACAGGTATTGAAGTTGCCATAATTGGAACAAATTCTTCATCTGGAAGTTGTGTAATGTTTGTAGGGTTCTCTAATTTCAAGTAAACACTTATCTCTGGTGGGAGTCCTGCTCATGACTAAGGCAGGTGCAACATCCCCTTCACATGTGAATACTCTGTTGTTAGATGGAGCTCACCACTTCCCTTCTGCACCATCCCACTTATTTCCAGGAGAATTTTAAAAACCTGGTTTCTTTGAAACTTATCTTACTATCAAATGTAGCTGCAATTGAAAAATAGGTTCAAAATTATTAGTGGGATTGATGCTCTCAGATAGTGTGATAGCATGAGCTTCATTTTCTTAAGAAAGCAGAGGTGCTAGGGTTTTCCTGATGGAGTTAGAAAAAAATTATGTAAAAATTACACAGAGAAGTAGTGTGGTACCATACAGATACTATTCCAGCAGGTATTATATCACCTTAGCAATCTTCTGTAAAAATGAGAGTCTGGATTTCATAACACCAGTATTTTCAAAATGTTTCCAGACTACAATGTATGCTTTCTGAAGGGGGAGCTGAGAAAGAACACATGCACACACACAGGAAAGGGAGTATCAGCAGATACAGTAACAAAATCAGTCACAAAATAGATTTCTAGGACATAGTCCTTCCAATTCCAACTCATATATTCCATATTGCCTTCAGCAGTCTCACTCTCCTAAGTGAATACACTTCAGAATAAAATATTCAAATGATAAAACTGCTGCTCAGACACCAGGTCAGCTGATAAAATGCAGTGCAAATATTTTTGATTTACTGTTACACCATATTTTGAGATGCATCACATCAACAAAAAAAAATACATAAGCAGTCTGAGCCTGGTGATGATCCTGTGATGGGGATATTTTACCTTTTGTCTCAGGGATCTGCTTAGTATATCCGGACTCTAAATTTTCTAACGCAGCCTGCAAACCTGTAACCTGATTTTAAAAAGAGGAAAGAACAAGAGGAAGCATTATTAAAGCATTACTTTTGAAGTGTCTGTTCACAACACACAGCATTCATGTGTACCTCATTAATTCCATCTATAATTTTTTACTCTTGCTTATTGTCTCTAAGTTATGAACATAACTCTTAATTCAAGATTTTGGAAAGACCCAGAGCAAAAATGCAATAAAACACAAGCCACCCAGAATCCCTCAAAACACTTTTACAGCTCTATTAAAACAATGCAGACATACAGAATACCAGGGTTCTGACTACACCAGCAACTTTTAACAACTGCTGTCACTGCCCTGATCTCGAATTTAATGGCACAATATGACTTACAGCTTTGTCACAACAAAACATCACAAAATATGGTACTGTGCATTACAAAAAACTCATTGCTCTAGAGTGAATACAGTTCATAACTGCAGAGGTTCTACATACATATATATATATATGCCCCCGAATTTTCATAGCATTGGAACTGTTCCATGTTTTGTACTCCTGATTCAGCAGAACTCCATATGGGCATAAACTTCCTTTTCCTATAGGGCATTTTCCTTATTGAAATTTCAGTCACATAATCCTCACTGTTTTGTAAGTAAGCCTTGAGGTGACCAGAGAAAAAATGGAGGCAGAAGAAAGGAGGAAATGAGAGATGAAGAATATCAGAAGAGAGTGTGAGCATAGTAAATTCCTTTCAGTTTACCCACATATAATTGATGCTACTGCTGGAATGCATTTGTGTAGGGTTTTTTCTCTTTTTTTCCTATTTCTTTTCTTAAACACATGCCAGGTAATTTTCTGTTTGTCATCTCTTCTACCTGTGCTCATACTGCTTCCTGTCAAAGGGGCAGAATATCTTGTATACATCAGGTGAGATTAGAGAAGTAAAAATAATGTTCAAATATTCCACTCAAGACTGAAAAACTGTCTCTGATCTCTTAATGTATTTTTTTCTATGCTAGCAGGTATATTTAGGAAAAAATAAAATAATTAACAGTAATAAAAGTTAAAATAAGCTACTTCCAAAGGCATAGATGGAAGCATGGGAAGCTGTGTGAATGTTACACCTGCTGCACACTGCTGCTCTACAGCTCTACAGTGGGTATACACTGTCATCTATTACACCACGTTTCACACACTTTCACTGCTAATATTTCACCAAATCATGAAAACTCATAAAATATTCTGCTTCAGAATACTGCATAAGTGACTTGCTTTACCAGAAATATCCTGTGTATTTACCAAAGTGAAAACCAGAAGCTTCCTTACAGCTGTGCAAGTGGTGTTCACCACATTTTTACCTGCCCCAATGCTTTGTCTCTCTCCAAACTGGTTAACATTCTCTGTGTCAGGGAATTCTGGTATTTTTCTGACAGCTGCTTCAGCACTGGTTCATAGGATGCATAATGTGCCTTCAGCCTGTGAGCAAGAGGAGAAAAAATGATTCCTCACAGATGAGTTAAATCAGAGATTTATATATGCATAACTTTTCCCCTCCCCAAACAAATGAGTAAAATTGCCAAAAGGTCAACACAGAGGAGATAGTAAAGCTGTTTAGTATGTAACCAACCAGCTGCAATACCACAACAAAGGAGAAAAAAAAAAAGGTGAATGAGTAAGAGGATTCACAGCTTGTTCAGTCACATCTTAAAACAATCCATCCAATTTTGTCCTGTTGTTAATCCTTTATACACATACTGCACATTAATTTGGGCTAATTTGTTTTCTTACAGATGGATTGTATTTCACTGGAAGAAAAAGAACTACAGCTGTTATCTGACTAGCAAATAAGATCCTTATCTGGACAAAACAGTCCTAATATGATCATGATTTCTTTCTTCACTACACATTACACTGTGAATACTTAAGCACTTTAATTCTTCAGACAAATTAAGATTTACACATGAAACGAGAAACATATGACACCAACAGCTCCAGAAGCACTGCATCCTGCAAAATGCTGAGTCACAGAGGACAGAGCAGTGTAGAGTGCTCTCTTGCATTAGCAGTGTGCTTTCCAAGGGTGGAGATGTAGAACACAGAGCTGCTATTACATGCACTGATGGATAACAACACCAACAAAACTCAGGGAATTCAGTGGAGCTGCAGATGTAAACCTCTCCCCAGTGTTATTTTAAAACTAGTGGTGGCATAAACACGTGCAAAGGAGAGATCCTAAACTCAGCTCCTATTTAGAAATTAAATCACTATAAGTCTGTAGCAATGGACTGGTTTGGGCTTATTTGTAAGCAAAGAAACATAGCAAGCTTCTTACTGGAAGTTCAAGATGACAGAAAATGCCAACTATGAGAATCAGGAATGCAAAGGTTCTGAATTTGGTGTGATAATATTTACCCTCAAAATGGGCAAACATTCTAAACAGAAATCACCACCTATTTATGGCAAAAGATCTGGATAAAAAAAAAAAACAAAACTCCTTTTTGTTTCCAACTATTAGAAATACCATGCATTCATTAATGCATATTGCACCATAGAAAATCCACCAGAAATAAATCACTGGAAATTCTTTGATCTCTGTGTGGCACACTGAGCTGCTGTTTACCAGGACACAACTAAATGCAGCTAGACTCACTTCAGATTTCATAGTGTTATCTCATTATCAGGCTACATTAATTAATTACACTAATGCTACATGTATAGCAACTCAAATTACTTTGTACCTTTTCATTTCACAAATCAGCTTGTTTTTCTCCTGGACCACTCGCTTATGATGCATTCGATGGAAGTCTCGTTCTTTCTGCATTTTTAGGAGAGCCTCTTCTGTTTTACTGTGTGTAAAAAAAGAAAATGCAAGGCAGCAGTGTTAGTCTCCTCCTGTGAACTGCATCAAGGTATGCTGAATACATATGGAATTAATTTTCAGACCTGCACATGTTTACTGTATCTAAGCTGGAAGCTCTTGGTAGTACAACCTGTGCTGAATAATATGTTCTTTTGAGATCTCTTTGCTGCCAGCTGAGGTTCAAAACCATGGGTACTCCTCTGTTTCCCTCAGATCCTTCAGACAGAATCCATAAGGATTCTGGCATCATAAATCTCAGAGTTGAGGTCAACTTTACGCTAAGCATGAGGAGACTCACAGAGATACAAAAACCAATCCTCTTGTTTAAAATTCTATGTAAAAGTGTATTGATAATACTGATAATATACTGAAAATACTGTTTTTAAAAAAAAATATTTACATCACATCTGTATTGTTGCCTTGCAAATTAATTTGGAGAGCCTTCTGGAAAAAGCTGGGCCAAAAAATTTTTAGGCTCTCTTCAATCATATCTGTAACCTGTCCCCAGGTGTTCCTTGGATGTGAGAGCAGGCAGCAAAATGATTCCATTTCAAAATTAACTGTAAACATACTGATAAACTGCTATTCTCTGAGCACATTCTACACACAGCTATGGGACACCCTGAGATGTTCTGCTTCATAAACTTAAAAAGAAAATATTCTGTATATATTCGGTACATTTTCTCCTTGCCTTTACTGATACGGGTTTGGCAGGAAAGATTAGTAGATGAATTGTTTAATTGCAAAGGAAGCTTGAAATTAACTTGCACTGAAATTAGATATGTGCTTCTTGCAGAAATAAAGCTCATTTCCTCCGCATCAGGAGCTGAAGAACTAGGAAAAACCAAAATGAAAACAGAGTATGACAAAATCAGAGGTCCAGGGAGAAGATCCGTAAGTGCCAGTGCATTATATTTAATAATTTAAAATATAAATCATTTATTAATACAAATAATTTATATTTGCTGTATATGCAAGGACTCTATTTGTTACCTTTACAAAGTATCATACTGAGCCATTTTTATGTGAACTGGTGCTTGTAGCACAGGCCTGAAGGAGAGCCCAGTGAATTCATGCCACGGAGCCAGGCAGGGCTGCCACTCCCGGGGGCACACACATCCTGCTGTGTGCACAAACACCATGAGCTGGAGATATAAAGACCACATCAATGATTCTGCTCAGGCTTCTACAAACATTTGAGAGGTAAATGAATCAGTGGTCTCAGGATAATTCTGGGAAACAACTCCCTCACGACACCACGCTCAAAGTCTGACTTGCCATAAAGACCTTGAATGCAACCCCTGCCCCTTCAGAGCTCAGCAGATGGCTCATTTTGAGCATAAAAGATGTTGCTACAGCTATAGCAAAGCCAATATCCATTTCTTTTAGGGAAGATATATGTCAAAGTCTGCAGGTCTCTCCATTGAAACTCCTCTCAAGCAAGTACTTCTGTTAAAATAGCTAAAGAGGACAGGGTGCAGCAAACCCAAGCAGGAATTTTCAGAGGCATTGCATGCCCTGATCCCACTGAATTTATGTGGGACTACATTCCCCAGGCATTTAAATACAGTGCACAACACAAAAAGTGTGCACCTTATTTTTCCATGATGTAGGTAAAAAATATGTGCAGGAATGGTTAGATTTTGGTACAGAAACAGGAACTGGACTGAGAATTTTGTTGCTAATGTCACTAACCAAAATAATAAATACAGCTTCCAGGATTACTTTCTATTTTTACCATTACTTTGGCTGTAAGCTGGGTGTGTATTTGTGAGCAGGCTTCCAAAAAGGAAAGAAAGGTACCCTCAAATGTTACAGTTCCTAACTGATGCTGTGAACTCAACTACATACCTCAGGCAAAAGCTTGACACAACTTTAATTCCATCTACCTAAGAAATTCCTAAATATTTAAAGAGCTTTTAAATATCAAAGTTCACAGTCCCTGTGACCAACACAATCTTACCATGACACAACATTTGTCTGGCTGCACATGTTTCAATAAATAGGCAACAGACAGGGTTTGGCTATAGGAAAACACAAAATTATCTGGTATTCAAATCATTTTATATCATCAGATAAGCAGAATTTAACATGACTATGAAATTGCAATCTATTTTCAGTTCAGAAAAATGTTACCAGACTATTAAGTGACCAGACACCACTGAAGATGATGAACTAGAATTAACTAGTCTCATTAACAATTATCAGTATTATTTAGAAATATTTCCTGCATATTGTGAGGAAAGCCCATGCTTCCATTAGGGAAACATTCAGCAGATAACAGCACCCCTTAGCAATCAGCTGGGGCTCAAATGTAGCCTTAGAGATAAAATGGAGCACATTTGAGGTACCCTTTAACTAGTGTCACATGGCAAAACAATGTAAAATTAGTTTTGCTTTCTGTCACCACATAATGGTCATTTTTAGAAATCATTTAAATAAAGATTAGTAATGTATCTAAATCTTAAGGTCATAACTATACTTAGTTTTGGAGTAAAAGGATTATGCTGATATTTATTTCTTTTAATGCATGCAGAGACATCAAGATGCCTTCAGACATTGCACAAGCTATAAAAAATACATGCTCACGATACAGAGGAAATGAAGCTAACTGTAATTTTCTCTTTAAATAATGAAACACCACAGTGAAATCTAACCAACAGCCTGCAATCTACTCAATTTGCCCCCCTGCTTGCTTGCAATCATGTAAATACTGTATTAAAATACCCAAAATACAATTACAGCTAGCTTCTAGACACTAAATGTCTTCCACCAATTGCTAAACCACATTAAAGTGGGAGGTAATTGGTTTACAGTCATTTATCCTGGGCCCCCATACTGCACAAGTCCCAAATAACATCTCTTTTCTGCAAGATGGCCGTCCAGAGTACCAAGCTCAGAAATACCAAATGTAATTAAAAGCTTTTCTCAATTACATTTCACAGCACCGTAGCTCTCAATCAATGTTTTCTGAGTAATCCACAGAGCAAAATACAGGACTTCCCTTGCTCATAAATCCTTGGTTTCTAACCAGTCAAATCAGCATTTCTCCCATGCTCTCAGGCATTCTGCCTTCTGAGTCATTCCCTCTGAAAACCTGAAAATTCACATTGTCCTCCCAGTAGTTTTGGCTCCTGCTGGAATATTTACCACAGAAAAGTCAGTGACTCAAGTTACTAAATGTATGAACAAGAAAAAATGTTGTTAAAAGTCACTACAGTAAATGGATTTAGTATACAGTTTTAGGACCAGGGTTTATCCAAAAGGCATAAAAGAACACTGTAGCCCATGGTATGTACAGCAGAAATGCTCAGTTTCACACATTTCAATTATTTCAGAAGTATTGCTTTTATTCATAGATTAATCCAAACAATGTATATGAAACGAACGTCACAAATGCTGAACTTTTAACATTAGTATCAGTGAGATCTTTGAAAGTTATTTGAAATGAAAAGGCTGGAAAGTGAAGTACTGACAGAGTACTGTTGGCACAGAGCAAGTTTACACCTGCCTATACTGCATTCCAGTAATAGCTTACAGCCTATGGAAATAAAGCTCTCCCTGCAAGTGGACAAAGGGGGGGTTTTGTTTCAGCAGTGTTTTCACAAGGCACCTGCAGAAAACCTGCAGTGTGCAACAGGAAAGGACAGTGAACAAGGTGTGCTGGCACAGAATCTGTGTCACACAGAACTGCCCTCAGTCTCAGTGCCCTCTCTGCAACACCAAACCAGTGACATGACCCATTTGTTTGCCACCAGAGTGTTGCTGCTTTAGGTTCCAACAAACAGCAGAATGTGAAAAAGCAGGGCCCAGTTTCAGTTTGTGGACTGAAAGAGTTTGTGGATTGTGAGTGTTGGGATTTCACCTAACAGAGAACCTGTAGCAACCCAATATACCGGCACTCCTTTCCCTCTCCTGCTTGCTCCTAGTTGCACATTATCATGTCATCTTTCAGCTTTTTAACCAGAGAGCTGCTGTAAAAATTCTTCTGACACCCCATGGAGTATATTCTTATGAGAAAAAAAAAAAAAACAAACAGCTCATTCAGACCATAGTGTAATCAGTTTGAGATTTATATTGTTAAATAATCATGTAGCAATAAAAGAAACCCAGGAAAACCCTTATCAAGTCATAATCAACTCAGATTATTTTGTTACAGTATTATTTTATTGTAGCATGTTCTGCTACATAGAAGGGGTGAAGAGGGGGAAGAAGAGAGAAAAAAAGGTGGGGGGAAAAAAGAAAATAAAGCTCATTGAAATTACTACTGTCAAGGATAAATTTCATGAGGGCCACATTTTGTCCTTCCTTCTTTTACTCTGCATGACTGCTTCTTACTCTCCCCCACTCATATGAGACACAATCTTTGAGTACCCTTCTTTGTCCAAAGAAGCTGCAGATTAAAAAAAGACATGCTTTCTCTGTGGTCTGTCTCCCAGTGCATCATTATACTTAACTACACTACATCTGACTTGCCACTGTTTATTAAACTACTTGACTGTTGCCAATTAATTAATTAATTTAAAATGTAATAAATCATTACAATCAGAAAATAATTAAATTACCATTAGCAGCAGCAATGATTATTTAACATATGAATAGTTTGGGGGTTTTCTTCATAGAAAGGAAGAACTTTGATTAATATTTTTTGTTGCATTAAACAAAAGCAATTTGAGGAATCCTGAGGAAAATTAAAGAGATGGAATTAACTTTACAGTTCCATGTTTTGAAACCACACACTGGCAAAATGGGAGTGCATCATTAGGCCTCAGAGTACATTCCCAATGAACACACACATGTGCAAACACACATTTCCCCAGAAAAGGCCTGTGACACAGGGTTCATTACCACATCTCTCCATTTTATAGGCTAAGTATTTTAACTCTCATGCCTGAAGTACTGCAGACTTGTAGGATAAACTCTACAATGTACACATGAGCATAATCAATGATGGTAATTTACACTGACATACCATTACAACTAGGCCCAGAGAGATGGATTTTTTGTGATTAAAAAAATGAAGAATAAATGTATAGTGATTTTTTTTCCTACACTGAAGGTTTGTGGTAGCTGTAATTTATAGTACTGTAATACAAAATGCACATAACAATTTATTTTTTTAGTTCTACCTATTAGGCTCTCATGATTCTCTGTAGTAATTTGTTATGATTACTGGATATTGAAAATTATTTTTGGACTACTAAATACAATAAAAAGAAATTAAGATTTACATTTCTAACAGAACTCAGATAAACATGAACTTTAATTATAAATGTCACTAGAATTAAAAGTCTGTGTAGCCAGCATAACAAACAGATACTATTTTTCCCTAAGTACTTGGATTTCCTTTATCTGGCCATCTCCTACCACATTTAAAGTTTCAAAAAAACCAAGTAACATACATGACAGAGTGTTTGTAGTTTTCCAGATCTTTCTTCAAGCTCTGATTCTCAGTCTCGAGTTGCTGGTTGCGGGTGTACACGTTTGGAACCAGCCCAGCATCCCCAACTGTGAGCACACCCTTCTCAATCAGTTCATACCTGGTAGAAAAGAAACAGATTTCTTTTACTTATTCCATGTTTCCATTTCCTCACTTCTCTCATGTTTTCCTTCTCGTGCTACCATTTACCTAAACTAGAATCACAGCAATGTTTACCATCTTAAATTTCTATGATCATTAAGAATTCACAGCAGTGAATTCACTGCCCCAGCACGCTGTTCTATTCTACTGCTTTTCATTCTAAAATGTGTATTGCTCATAATAGCCAAGACACATAACACAATACTTCACATTAAACAATTCTTTTCTTCCTTTCTTCTAAACAGCCTAAATAAAAAGCAGACACAAATATTCTTGTTCAAATAGCATTTGTATATACTCACAGTCCTTTTTATCTCACATGTTCAAATACATCAAGTTTGGGGGTTTTTTTGGGGGGGTGATTTTTGTTTGCTTGTTTGTTTGTTTGGTGGGGGTTTTGTGTTTGCTTTTGGTTGGGTTTTTTTTTTGAGGACTCAAATAAGATGTAGATAATAAGGATGAATGAACAATTTTCAACAAGGAATAAGAGCCCATATAGGGAAATTCCTTTATTCCTTCTTGTTTATTTTCCCTCACCTTATTTAATTATATTTACCAATATTTACCTATTTTACTAGCCCCTGAGAACACTTGATTCTGTGATATAGGAGGCTGACAGTTGCTTTAGTTAAATACTTGCACAAACTGAGGTGGATTTTAAGTAAAAGTATCTAAAGCAGCCTGGAATGCTGGGTTGCACCCTAGGAATTTCTACAGCTCCAGCAATAATATCTACTCATTCAGCATCCAATTTTAGGGCTATCCATCTTCTGGTGATTCATGTCAGTAAAACATAAGAATACAGCACATACAGAAGAGTGAGACCTCAGCCATGACATCAGCTCACCAGAGGCTGCATGGAGCTGTAACTAACTTAAATTAGATAAACACCATAACCCCACAACAAATCTACCAGGAAAATATTCTGGGTGGGAGCTCACTAGAGGGAGCAACATGAATATTATTTGCCTTTTCAGGTGAAAAATATATTGAATCAGTGCATTTTTTTGTTTCCAAGTAATAAGGAAGTATGAAAAGAACAGAAGTAAATAGAAATAAAAATTATACTAAACACTATCTCCTACACCTGGATATAAGAAGCAGATCTGAAATCTAAAGACAGTAATCACCAATATCATTCATCAATAATCATGCTGATGAAACAAAAAGTATTTCTGAAAAAAAAGCAACCTTTAATTAACATCCTCCAAAAAATTTAAGGGGAATGTTAGTATCTCTGCCCAAATGACTTCCTGCAGTCAGATATGTATTTGCATTCTGAGGATACTTCTTGGAATGCTTATCCCTCTGAATTAAGCTGTCACATTCAGCACCAATAGATGAAAGGCTTTTGAAAAATTCATCTGAACATGTCCACAGTAAAATTCATACTATCATCACATCATTTTCTTAAGTAAATTACTGTAGGAACAGGCTCTAACACTAAGAGAGAAGCTTAGGGGTTTTTTTCTTTCCTCCAAACAGTGACTGATGCACAGGTACAATTCCTATCATAAATATTGCAAATAAGGGCAGCCTCATGGCAGAAATTCACAACTCTGGGTACTCCTTTACTTGCTGGAAGTATTTCTCCACTGAATGCCCTCACTTCACTTCATGAAAACCACCAAGTATCTGCATGAAGACTTATCAAACATGGATAATTGATGAACCTCAACTCCAGCAGAGCTAAAAATTCAGAAAGACAATTTTCACGAAACACAATTAATACCAATAAATTCACTACACCCTTGTCTAAGAACAGTACTGAAAGTGACTGTTTTTGTGCATGTAGCAGAAATAGAAAACCACACAACAAACAGCACTGAGAAATCTCATTATCTTTCATCACCCTGGTCCTGTAAATCTCACAGACCTCCTCCATACCGAGCTGACTGCCAAATAGCTGCTCCTCTCACTTCTTTCATTGCACATGGAAATTAACTTAGTTCCATGCACACACAGGTATTTTACTAAGCTTCTCAGAACTACTGAGTTATAATTCTTAAATCACTATTAAAAATTAACCAAGAATCTTGAAACCTAAGGAACAGATGGTTAACTATGATTTTGTCATCAAAGCTCAGTGCAGACTGACTGAAAATAATACATTATTGCTATATACTTTACGTTATAACTCCTAGAAACTGGATTTCAAAGGAAATAAGTTGCAGAGAGGCTCTGCCATAAACTGATAGCTCAGGATGACCTGGGCTTTTGGGATTAGGAGGGAGAGACTGGCAGATGCAGGAATTCACAGCTGATCAGCCTCTGTGCTTCATACTTAAAAGCTGTCAATCCAGTATCTTCAATAAACAACAAAAGTGCTATCAAGTCTTGCATAACCAATAAATAGAAAATTTAATGGAAAATTAGATATTCAAAAAATAATTTAACTGTAAAGTTCCTTAAAGTATAATGGGAATAAAACGTTTATGTGCAAAACAGCCTACATAATTAAAGAAAAAAATCGCTACAGCTGTTATAAAATTATTCATTACTTCACTGAAAAATAAAAGTTTTGGTATAAAATAAACCTTAATCAAATCACGGCATTTTATAGAGCTGGATAGAGTAACAGTGTTTTCCCAAACTCCAAAATAAACACAGACAATTTGGTCCAATTTAAGTGACCTTTAGATCTCAAACAGACAATAATTTCAAAGCCAGTCTTTTGATAAATTTTCTCTACGTTAATTAATTTCTCATTTTAAATTCCATTAGTACTTGATCACCACAGCATGAGAGCAAGAGTGTCGTCCCAATACATAATGAGGAACCCGAGTACACTAATCTGCTCTCACTTTCATTAATATTGTAAATTATCCATTTCAAACCAACATGAAACGTTTTGAAATAAGGTATTAATGCAGAAAGTCTCTATACAGTAAGATTAGATACTGACATGCTGAGCTCATTTGTAAAGCTACTGAAATTAAAAGTATTATTTATAGAGAAAAAATATATGTACAGCTAAGAATTTACAAGATAGGGCCTGTTAAATCCTGCACTTTCTGTTAAAAAGCAATTTGAATTTTGCCACTGATATAAAGTCAGACTCTGTGTGCTTCAAAGAAAGCCATAGCTTCATAACAAGGTCACTGTTTGTATCTGTCTAGCATTAATTATCTTTTAGCATAAGAACTAGTAGACTTCAAACTTAATGATATTCATATCAGTTCTTTTGCTGAGAAAGAATACAGGAGTATAGTGATCTTTCTCCAAGGAATCATTTAAGTCCATTGTTATGCTATCAAAAAGCAGATCATTAATAATTCCAAAGGCAACACTTGATTGATAAGACCAGAGCCTTGCAAATGACAGCACAGGTTCCACACCTGAGAATATTTCTAAGAAAATTTAAAAGCTTCAATGCTTTTGTATGAAAAAATAAGATGTTTCTGACTTTTTCTAATTTTCAAATTACACAATTTGAAGGGACTTTACTAAAAGAAACCCTCTGAACTTCTCATGTTTGAAACTGAGAACAAGGTTAATCAGAGAGGTATTTCCACTTTTCAGGATTTCTCCAACATAACCTTCTGATTCAAAGCAAGTCTGCAGCTTCATGTATTTCAACAGAACTTTATGACAAGTATCATCTTTTGCTCCAAAGTAATTCAGCTCTCCTCCAAAGCTTTTCAGCACTCCTAACACATGATTTTTAAGCAACAGTAAAATAAATATACATCCTGCAGGATATATGAAGAGAGTGGTGTATTTAAACAAAGTTGCACCTTTAAACTTGTGCATAAACTATGGACAAAATCCCTGCAACCTACAAAGAAGATAGCAACAGCTCAAGAGTTTAATATTCTTCTGATTACTGTATAAATTAAACCTTAAAAGTAAAAAAAATCATATTTGTTAACTGCTGTACCAAAAAATTACCAATTAATAAATATTCTGATTATTCTACCCAAACAAGGGTTCCTCATTCTCAACAGGTATACATTTATTTGTTAAAACACTACATATTTAAGAATGACTTGTACTCAGGTGAGTTTTCTGAAAAAATATCCTGAAGTACCAAAGATGTTTGAATCCTGACCATCTAATTCCCAAAGCAACATGGTTACTTAAATTATTTTACCATTCAGTCTGGAAGCAGTCAAGGGTTCTAGACATTCCCAATCTGACCAGGAAATTGCAGAAGAAGTCATCCATTGCTTGAGGTATTTCTGATATTGATTTCTCAGGAGTCAGAACCGACTGTAAAGCCTGAAATTAAATTTTGATAACTGTTAAAACTTACAAGAGAAATGTCATGATCATACTTTCTATTTCTGAAGTCATCTAAAGTCACAGATCTACTGGAGTACATCTGAATGTTCCCCTTGTCTTTACAGATCAGAAGTGTAATCAGTGATCCTTCTAATGGCAAGGTTTGTGAAAGGTTATAAAAAGTAACTCAAACCCCTCCTTTATTTAAGCAGGTATTCCAAACCTGACATCACCTGCTAGAGCCTTGATAGTATTAATACTGATGGATGATCTTTTGTCACTGACCAAAGTAAAAATCAGTCCTTATCTAATGCAGGATGTAGCAGTCCAAGGTGCCAGTAGAATGGCTTGTATGCTTTTTGTAATGGTGCGTGCAATGGAGGGACAGACAGAACCTCAATTCCATCACCTGATCCCTTGGGAATAATTCTCACAAAGATCAAGTGTTCCTTGCCTCTTAAGGAGCCCTGGAGGAAGCTGCCAGAAACAGCAGTGCTACAGGTGTTAGCAGAAGGCAGATGGTGCAGCAGGGCTTCATGTGCAGCTCCCCCAGTGCCACCCAGACACACAGCTCTGCAGAGAAGGTCAGCTCACAAGGCAAGGCAAGCACATTGCCAAAGGCAGAATCAACACAGAACAGAGCAGTCCTACTTCAGGGAAAAAGGAAAAAAATCCCTTTCACAGCTTTCTGATGCAATGCAAATCTCTTCCCTTCACACAACCCCATTCAGCCCACTCAGCACACAGCTTCAGATCTCCCAGGGAGAATGCAAGGAGGGAAAAAAGAAAAATATGACCCAGTCTGAGACTACTCCCCTACAAAAAACATTTAAAGACAATGAGATGAGACTGCCACAAGTTGGCAGCCAAAGGGGTGGCCTTATTTCAGTCAGATATCAAATGAATTGCAGTGACTTGACATACCTAACTATGAGGGTCCTGGCTTGTGGGAACTCCACATGGGCACAGTGCCACGATGGACCTGCTCAACAATGCATGACAAACTATTGCATTGCACATGCATCTTGGTGAGAGATTATAAAAAATACCACAAAACTGAAAAAAAAAAAAACCCACAGAGAGATTTATCAAGCTATGCTAAAGGCTGAGACTGCAAATCATTTCCTCCACCCATTTATAAAAGAATCTGTAAGGCCAGGGATTTCTGATAACTCCATTCATCTATGGCTTATTCATGCCCTTAGTGGCAGCTCTCTCACCGTGAGTGCATAAATTACCTGGAGATAAAAGCATTTCTCTCGATAAAATAAAAACACTGGAAAAACCTCTTGGCCATTTTGTATAACACAGAAAATGTTGTCTTCAATCCAACCAACTTACCTAATATAACCAGAAAGGAATTGTACATATCTGATGAAGGCCATGTAACACTACCTTATGACTAATACAATATGCCAAGTGCAATGTAATATTTAGCATATTTTCATTACTAGAGCTCCAGTACATCAGGCAGGTCTATTTTCTATCTGTGGTAATACAAGAACCAAAGAGTACATGGGCAGACATGCAGATGCATCCCTTGGCTTGCTTCTTTCTTTACTCCAAGTGAGGCAAATGTCTAATATTGCTGCTCATAGTTTTCCAAACACATCTGTAAAGCCAGGCTTCGGAAGAAGTGACACAGCTTGATTCCTTTAATAAATGGAAATTCGATAGGAATTCATTTCATCCGTGCAGAAGAGAATTTATTAGCGACACATCAGCGCTGAGCATCATTTGAGGGACCAAAGCTCAAGCAGGGAGAAATGAATTCAGTCTAACAGGCACAGAATTGCAACAGGACCTCGGGAAACCAAAACTGAAGCCTCATTCCCAGATTTTGGGAGTGATATTAGGCCAACCACTTGCTTCAGTTTCATTGTAACCATGGCTGACCACCAAGAGAATAGCACAACAAGAATTTTGTGGCATTTATTTACTTGTTTGTAAATGAGGAAAATACAATCAATTAACATGATACAAACAGCAAAATATCTGCTATATTTTATAGCAGTTGTAGGGATAAAACCATCTTATTAAGAGTCTGACCATGGGGTCAAAATAAATTATTTTTGCTTTTTTTCTTTGTGTTAATTAAAATGTTTTTAAAAATTGTGGGTGTAAAGATTGTAAATATGGCAAGTAAAATAAATTAATTTCTAAGAGCTTAATTTTAGGAACTTCCACAGCACTTCTAAGGATTTCTGTCCTGCAAGAATTTCTCTTCACTGAAGAAATAATAACACCTAATAAATTAATAGCTTCTCTGGAAAACAAGGTAAGATGTTCTCAAAAAACTTACTAAATTTAAGAAGAATATAAAAAGGGAATTCAAGGATTTAAACATGGTCAAACAAACTGAAAATCAAGCATACATAAATTGCAACATTAGTGAATGTCAATGTAACTTCTCATTATCACTGAAGGTATTAAGAGGACAAAAACCCTGGAAGGAAAGTCTAACAGCTAACTAATGAAGAAAGTTTTTCAGCCAGCTTTCATTCCTGTGGGGCTTTCCAGAAGTTTTGCATCCTTTTTCTACAGTCCCTATCAGCTGAATGTTTTCTTTTATATAGAATATATAATATATATAGAATATATATTATAATATATATATAATATATAGAATATTTTTTGCTTGTGTTGAAAAATAATTTATATTACTTAAAAATGTCTCAAATAAAAAAAAAAAAAAGTAAAACCAGAAAAAAAGAAGCAGGGATGTGCTTAAGGGCAAATTATGTTACTCACTTTAGAAACTCTGGATAGTTTTAGTATCTGCAATTGGAAAATACCAAATTTTTAATATTTCTGGATGATCACTGATCTGTGCACGTAGCATTGCACTTTAATATGGGGCTACATACACAAGTAAACAGCAAGTTAAGTAGCAAATACACACAATCACTTAAAACTATCATCCAGGTTATGGGTATTACATAAGTTAATCTATTTTAGCCAAAAATAGGCCAATTATTTATCATGTGAAGAAGACAGCCTTCTACTTTGCTTCCTAGCTCAGAGTTTTTGGATGTTGATTCCATATTAATTCACAGAAAACAGTGCTTCTAACCTGGGTTACCAGAAGCACTTGGGTTTTCCAGGGAGTTAATATCAAACAGTCGAGTCAGTGAGCCTCACAAAATATACAGTAAATCATTATGAAAGCTGTCAGGGAACTAGAAAGTTTATTAGAACATTTCTCTATTCATATCTTTCTGTCCAAAGGCTGAAAACATTACTTCAGTTTCAAAATTATGGAAAAAATGAAGCCTCCAAGTAACAAATCAAGCAGGAAGAAGACAGACAACTCTTAACATAGCTTAAAATCAAAGAGAATTTGAGTTTGAGCACAAATTATCTGCTGGTTTTAAGGAAAGGTAGCAGTTTCTTCAGTTTGATTAACTGGGATAGACCCTAGCATACTGTTTTCTACCACTCCAAGTTCAACAAATCAATGAAGAGGTAAAAGATTATTTAAATACAGCACTGTCAAAAGATCAATAGGTTAAAAATACTATCCCTTTTTTCACTTTCTATTTTAACATCAACTCAAACAGTAAAACAACCATAACCTCAGCTATCCCTAAGGAACATGAAGAATTTCCACTACTTCCTTAGCATTAAGAATTTGCCATCTCGAGCACTGCTGCAATCTTTCCCTTCATTTTCAGGCATATTCCCTTCATTTTCAGGCATCGGGTTTAATACATATAAAACTCTATTATTGTCAGTTTCTAGACAGAGTTTGATCTAAAGTACAAAACTGATCTGTTGATAAGCACAAGTGCAGAGGAAAACACACATTTTCCCTCCATTTTAAGTATCATTCACTTAATTTCATCTTTTCACTATTAATCATTTACTTCTGCAAAACAAAGACTATGACTGTAGCCTTCTGATGAGGCTACAAGATAGTGGTGATATTGGAAACACAGCATGGAAAATCATTTTTCCATTAGATTGTTAAAAACAAGTAAATTCAGGTAAATCCTATTGTGAAAAAGGCAATACAACAATCCCATTGTCTAACTCTGAATTATTACACTACTGCTTTGAAATCAAACTGTAAATGTAAGGAATGTTAAAACTAATGGTGTGGAATGATTGATAATTTCATTAATATTTTGATTCAATATACTATAACAGTCCATTCTTTATTTTCAATACATGAACAATCTCCACTAGCAAAGTATTCAAGTGCAACCTTTTGTGGGTGTTAAGGAGATGCAGTTTCTCTCCTGTGCCAGGGATCATATTCTCATTTAATCTGCTCAGATAAAGAACAAATTCTAAAATACTGATGCATTACAACAATATTAATATATTTTAAATAGTCTTGCTAAAGGTTTGCTACATGTATTTGAAATATCAGCTTGTTTACAGAACACAAAATGAACACAAATTAAAGGAAGATGAAACCCAGGAAACATAAATTGTCTTTTCCACTATGGCATACATTTACTCCTATAAGCTTATATGTAAGAGACAATCTCTCCCACACAAATATTTCATAATTAGTATAAATTATTGCGTGTAAATTTCAATCCACTAATGCCAACTGAATTAGAGAGACTACGAATGTTTAGGAAGCTCTTACTGAAATTTGGGCATCTTCAGTCTGCTCTTGAATAGTCTGCAAAGCTTTGGACAGATCCTCATCATCTTCCTGAAGACTGAACTCATCATCTGTTGAAACCTAAATGAAATTATGTGAAGTTTGGTATCAGCACATTTTATATATCGTTCTTTCACAATACAACTGCTCCCACTGCCATTACAACTGCTGAAAATAATCCCCTCCTTGTTAAAATACCATTTTGCCATATTTAAATAGAAATCCTATTACTGAAATATTTTTTTATAAATAAGCTGAAGTATCTAAATAGATGCTTTATCTAAATAGAAATTCTTATACCTTTAAAAAAGTATTTATTGTTCAAATAAAGGTGATACACAACAATTCAACTAACACTGAATCTTCTCTTGAAAAATAGATATGCCCTCTATCATCACTTTATATAAAGAGATTGGTGTCATTTCTCCCAGGATCTCTATGTGACTGATGAAGTAAAAAGAATGAAACACGAATGCTCTACCAAAATATATTGGAAGATTATCAATTTAATAAGTTACCTCTTCTTGCTGCTCATCATCTTCAAAGTCTTCTGTTATGGTAATTTCTGCAGGTTTAGTTAAGTCTGAAACAGCTGGGGCATGTGAGGAGTCCCAACTTAGCAGATTTATAGATGGTTATTTTATGATATTTTTCTTCTATCACCACCTCCACCCTTGCTCTTTTCTACACAAGACTTTAAACTTTCAAGGTTGCCTTCAGCCTCAAGATGAGCAAGCCCAGTTCCATGTACAGAAAGAGAATTTAAGTTTTTACAGCAGGTTTGAACACCATTAAAAATTGACTCATCAGGCAATCTCAGAAGCCAAGCACTATTTCAAAACAAAACAACAGCTCAGTTGTGCTCTCAGTTTTGAGAGGGGTGTTTTTGCACCAGGATTTCCACAGCCTTCTAAGCAGAACTAGCTTCATGCTCTCAGAAAATACTAGTTTTTAGCAAATTCAATGTGTGAGTTCAAACAGGAACACCTGAGGTCAAACCCTGAACATCACAGTGCCACTTAAAAGAGCTAATGCAAATACCTTAATAATAACAAGACAGTTACAATAAAAAGATAAAGAACTTTCAAGACTCAAAAATTCATTTGGAAATTATCTACAGTTCCTTGAAATGCTTTAGAGTCAAACTTTTGATTAAATATAACTACGAATACTCTAAAATAAAAGCCAAATAAACATCTTTTCATCCACTAGCCTCATAGCCCATGAAAGAATAATGAAATGTTTTTAGCAGATGCTGTTGACAGTTTCCCTAGGAAATCAGTTAGCCTACAAGTGACCCATGTAAATAAACCAGGAATTAACTTCCAAAGATAAAAAAAGCTGGCAATTCAGTACTGCACACACAAAGAAAAAGGAAAAAAACCCAACGTGATCTTCCAGCTTTCGACCAAGTTGCCCAAATCTGAATTATTCTCCTGAAAACAGGACTTTAGGCAGTTTTCACAGTAACAGTATCTATGTTAAAGTATAAAACATAGGTAAAAGGGTCATCTGCATTCAAGACACCAGAAAAATTCAGATAAATTGTATCCATCTGGAAGGCTAACAGCTGAACACCATAACACCCTGATAAGTAATAAACTTTTGAAAACTGGGGATTTTTTTCCTCAATTTTCTATTGACCTGACTGTCCTTATGATCCACTATGGTCTAAACTAATGTGTCATTGCAAACAGCTTGGCAGACTAAAATATTACTTTAAAAATACTGGGGTTTTCCCTCCTTTTTTTTTTTTTTCCCTTCCAAAAATCATAGCTAGGTGCACAGTAAAAACAGAAACATTAATTTAAAAAACTACTATATTTCTTCACAGTTTTAAATCTGCTGAGGAAGTGCTTTTTTAAGTACATCATGCTGAAAACAGCTGTGCAGACTCACTAAGGTGGAAATTGAGGCATGAGCTCCAAAAGGACACTCTTCCACTTTTTAAAATTGGCTTTATATTGGCTTACAATTTAATTCGAGCAAAGCAGGAAAAACTAAGGTATGGTAGGGTCTATGACACTAATGTTTAGCTTCGAAAAGCATTAGAGCTTCTTGATTTGCAGCTCACAGCTAGAAAAGAGAACAGGCTCATCTGGCCTAGTGAGAAAAGCAGAATTTGAGTCATGTGACCAAAATTTACAAAATTAGAAGCTATAAACATCCAACATAATCTGCTACAACTAAAATGTGGAAAGAATTGGGTGGGGTTTTTTTGCTCTAAAAGCCACAGCAAAGTTATGTCTAGGTTATGTATCACAACCCTTCTACTCAAACCATGAATATCCCAGCAGCTATTCTGCAGTGGGAAATTAAATGAGCACCTTTTCCAGCAGCACATTGGGATGGGGAGTCTTTATAACAAATCTTGTCCCTCCTCCATAGCTATTTTGCATTTACTGCTCAATAGCTAATACAGGAGAGGCAACAAGAGTCCTTCATGCCAGGGTTTTAATTCCTGCACGGGCTGCCCCACCAGCACTGGAGGATTCAATTCCCCCACTTTTCCAAGGGGCATTCAGGAACCCCGACCTTCAGCCAGGACACCAAACACCACCTTACAGTGAGCAAGACCCCATTGCAGGGCCAAAACCCCACGTATTCATAGAACTGCTTAAGTTGAAAAAGAACTCTAAGACCAAACTGGTAACACAGCACCATGTCCACGTTCATCGCTGAACCTCATCCTCGAGTGCCATATCCACACAGGGCTTTTTAACACTTCAGGGATGGTGTGGCCACCTCTTCCCTGGGCAGCCCATTCCAATGCCCGGCCACCCGTTAAAGGAAGAATTTTTTCCTGGTATCTAAACGTCCCCTGGCATGGATTGAGGCCATTTCCTCTTGTCCCATCCCTTGTTCCCTGTGAGCAGAGCCGGAACCCCCCTGGCTGTCCCCTCCTGCTCAGGGCGCCCTGAGCCTCCTTTGCTCCAGGCTGAGCCCCTTTGCCAGCTCCCTCAGCCTCTCTTGGGGCTCCAGCCCCTTCCCCAGTTCCCTTCTCTGGACAGGCTTCAGCCGCTTTTCACTCTCCAGTAATAACAAGCCACTAAAAGAACCAACAAACCGGGAGGATTTTGATTTTCCCCCGAATTCTCAACGCTGCCCTCACCCCACCCGACCCCCCCCCCTCCAGCAGGTGCCGGGCCCGCCCTGGCTGAGGCGGGAGCGCTGAGGAGACGGACCCCTGAGGCGGGGAACCGGCACCCCGAGCGGAGCAGGAGGAGGAGGATGGAGGGGGAAAGACTGGGGAGGAAGAAGGATACTCTGCAGCCTGAACGCCGCCTCAGAGACCGCCGCCTCCTCCGCCATGGCCGCGGCGTTGCCGGGGGCGACCTCTCGCGAGGAGAGGCACCCGCACCACGGCGGGAAGGGACCCGGGTTTAATTTAATTTAAATGAATTTAGTTTAATTCAGTTCAGTTTAATGTAATTCAGCGTGTGTCCAGGCGAAGCTCCCGGCGCATTTAGGAGCGGGGTGTAAGGGCGGTGAGTCCCCCGAGGGTTCCAGGGCGTCCCCTCAGGGCGAGCACCTGAGGGCCCTCCGCTAAATACGCACAGCCCTTCCTGAAATGGAAGGAAAAACAGCTGGAAATGAGGGGGAAAAACGCTTCAAACTCATAAGAAAGGACTAATTTCTTCTGCAGATGGAATATTTTTGTAGCTGGAAGCTGAGCTAAGTCCTGTGGGACTGATTACTTAAGTCCCTTCAGAACCTAAACTCCCCTGTGATTTTATATTCACGTTTAAAAGCAGTTTTCCCAGGAAGAAAAATTCGTGAGAGCAACCTATATTTGTGGAGAACACACGTCATAGCTCCTAGGAGTTTCAAATGAAGTTGCAGGATTGGACAGAAAAAAATTCTGCTATTTTTTCTTATTTTGAGCTAAGCTTAGAGGTAGCAGTCCTAAATTTCCATTGAGTTTTATGAGGGGTTTTATGTGCAACAGGAACTCAGAATCAGTGCTTGAATTAACACAAAGTAACGGAAATAAGTGCCCAAAGTATCTGGGGGGTGGGGGGAAAAGTAACAAAAAAATTGCTAATGGTTAGGTTGAAAGGAGAGGCACCAGTTTTGCATGCAGGGTATTTAGCCTGACAAGATACAATTCTGCAAGAGGACCTGCTGCCTTTGAAACTATTGTTTTGACACTGTGCAGAGATTGTCACAAAGGATTGCCATTCCTCTCCCATGGCAGACACATTCTTGAGAAATGACAAGTACTTCGGCACTGTCAAAGTCTCCAAATTGTAATAAAAGAACAGTGTTTTGGCACAAGATTGTCACAACACTGCAAAGATGACAAAAAACTGTTGTATTCCCTCAAATTCTCTCCAACACTGTTGTTGAGTTTAATGCATGTGAGAGCTTGAACTCAGCTGGTTTGAAGAGGTAGAGGGGCAAATGCTGACATACCTTTATCTTTGATGGCTGGGGTTTTCTTCCCTTCAGATTAAACTGATATTACCAGAACAATGCTCTTTCATCATATTGAACCCACCAGAGGCATCCTGAACTCCAGCAGAGCATCTCAAAAGAAGAATAAGCAGAAGTGGCATCATGAAACACAATTTTCACCAGTCAGTACTCCTAAACTGCAGATTCACAAGGTGATAACACTACGAAAGTTGGGATGGCTACAGCTGAAGGCATTGTTCTCTTAGGGAAGTTTCCAAATCCACCACAAAGTGTAATTTTGTCATACAGGCAAGCACAGCTGATTAATCTAAGTTAATGCCACTCAATTCTCTCAGGAATGTTTGCTGTTAGCCTTTACACAGAGTTGAACAAACAAAATGCTAAGCAATACCATTCTCTGAGTTCTCTCTCTCTGCAGGCCTAGCTTGTCCCTACAAATTATTCACAGGACTTCTCTGTCTCACTAGAACATGGAAATGTATAGTATCCACAACTGAAGAAGAATGATGGATGCTTAAAAAGGGCTCAGAAAGCTGCTTTGGGGAAGATTATGATTAGAAAAAAATTACTAGTGATGGACAAAAGGATCTCAGTCTTCTTGGTTTATTTAAGGAATTGCTAAATATCAGTGTCAATGGGTAATGGATTTGGTTATCTATGCTGAGATAGAACCATATGAAGAGAGTAGATCTAGGTTATACCAAATAATGCAGAGAATTAGCTAAAAGTAAGCCATAACTAAAAGCAAAGAGTAAATTTTTTAGCAAATCCAACTGATTTTCAAGTATCCAGAAGGATTTTAAGAACCAGAGGATTCTTTTTTAAAAGTTATATTCTCCATTCAGACACCAGCTAGTTCAGTACAACCTATGGCTCCGATTTTCAGAAGTCAGAAATAGTCAGTGCACTTTCTATGAAAAAAAATTGAAGCGAAAAAGTAGCCAATTCTATCATACATGGACATTTGCCAGTATTGTAAAGGACCCATACAGTTTATTTGATTACTTTTAAATAAAAGTTGGTTGCTCAAAGCTTGTTATTTCCCAAAGATTTAAAGCTTTGTTTGGAAACTGTTTGCTTGGCAACTTCTAAACTCTTTATGTCATCCCACTGTGACTATATAAATGGCCTCATCATACTGGCATTTTCCTTCAAAAGGCATAACAAGCCAACTAGTTTCTCCCTACCTCATTCACAGCCACCTGCCATAAATACTTTGTATTTGATTATTGCTAAGCTGAATTCCAAGCACCCAATTCACCCTGGTTTATAGCCTCATAACAGTCTGGGTTATAAATGATTATCATCTCCCAAATGGCAGCAACCAGCGCTGTTACTGTATCCTGTAACTTCTCATGAGAAAGGCATGGGAGCAGCATCTGCTGTAGCTTGAGCATTTCATTAGGCAGGCTGTTTGCTTTTCTTACAGAGCAAAGACTGAGGTGTGTACCTCCTCCAGATCTATCAGGCAGATAGGTGGGCCAGACAAGGTAGAGGATTTAAAAGAGATCACCTATGAAAACTGCACAAACTGGAATGCTCCAGAAGCGTTCTCCCAGTCCCTAAGGGCCATTTCTTCCCTTTATACCACCACTTGAAAGACTGAGACACTCTCCTAGCATTCAGAGCATAATATCCCCTCCTGCTGAGTTCAAAAATCAAACTGACTACGATTTTGACAAGTTGAGTTAAAAAACCAGAACAACCACATGAGCTACCTTCAGTGACTTTCCCTCCCCTGCAGGAACACATCCAAAATATTCAGTATATGCACTTCATCACAGCAGACAAGCAGCCAACAAAGAATAATCTGCCCCACTGACTTTCATACACCCATTTCTAATTGTTCTTCAGCACAGCTTTTGGGGAGGAAGGACGAGGCAAAGTCAGCAATTCAGCTTTCTGAATGAGCACAAAGCGTGGCCAGGAGCGCTCTAACAGCAGTATCACGATGACAGTCAAGAGGCCACTGTCCACACGGTCATGGTGGAGCACGGGACCACAGCTGGAAGCCAGAATGAGTTGGCAAACATCTTGTTCCAACTTCTGCTGTGCCATCTGGCTTCCAGTGAGGTGACTGACGTTAAATGTATTTTCTCTGTATTGCCATCTGGCAGCTGCTTGTACAACAACAGAGTAACATGCAGAATTTGGCTAAGAGTTATCCCAAGAATCACATCAAGGATACTTCTAACACAGGCTCTGAAACGGCAAAAAGCTTAGGAGGAAAGTTTGTCAGCTGCAGGCTTTACAGGCACAGAGTATTGCAGGTGGGTAAGAGGGAGTGGGAAATTATATATCTCTATTTTGCATGTGTTTATTTTACAGAGTTCCCATAAATGTTTCTACAGGGAAGGAAGGGACATGCACACAGGTTTCCAAAGGACACAAATGTTGTATCCAATGAAATGTCTGTTCTTGAGAAGCATCAGCACATTTGCCGTGCTGTGCAAGCACAATCACCTTCCCAAATTTAGAAAAAAATTATTTTTTTTTCCTGCTGTTATGTTGTATGCCAAACATTTGATAAAGGAAGGAGATTTAAGGAATTGATTAGAACAAACACAGTCTCAAAAAGAGAGACTCTGCTACTTTAACAGAAATTTCATCTAAAAATGTCAGGATTGCCAAACGCAGTGTAACTACAGTGTAATAGTACCTGTAATGCCAGGTCATCTTTATAAAGGTCACATTTGTAAAGCCATAGTAACCCTGCTGAGCTTTAAATGTAATAGAACAGGGTGCTTCAAAAAAACAGAGTAGGATTTTTAATAAATACAATCCTACGACAGCTTAAACCAATTAACTTTCTATTCTACTTTCTGCTGGGCACTCCTGATTTTTTCCTTGCCCCTGTGTTGGTGCTCATATGATTCTTAAATAATTTAAACCTAATAAATCTAATCCAGATGAAATAAAAAAAAAAATTAAAAAGGAAGGAAGGAAGAGGATGGGGAGTGTTAGTTTTTTTCTGTTTGGTTACTTTTGTTTTAATGAGGAAAAGTAACACTAAAATGCTAGAGGTTTAGCTTTCAGAGTTAAACTGAAGTAACAAAATGCATTTTGTCTCTATTCTGTAAGAAAAACATTAAATATAGAAGGCTCTGCTTCACTTCTAGGAATTTAAATAGATTAGATGTATGATACACTAAATCTCTTAAATAGGGTTTGAGTGAAGATCTTATGAAAACAAAAATGTCTGTTTTCCAACACATCAGCAGTTCTGCTGATGGTCGTTCTCCTAAGCATTTTATTGAAGAATAATGAGCATTGGGTGGAATACTAGTTACACTACTTAATCACCAAATGCAAAAGATTGCTTTCTTTAGTAAATTTCTAAAATTCAGTCTGATTTCTGGCTTCAATATCACACAGCTCTTTCACAGGAATGAAAGAGACAATAATCTGCTCAAACCCCAACAATATAAGAGAAAACAGAAGTATGACGAGTTTTGACTGCACATAAAGAATAATTTGGGACTCAACCATCAAGCATTTTATCAATAATACAGCAAAGACATCAGTACAACATGAGCCCAGGACACGTCTGTGAGGAGTGCAGGTTTCCCACTGCAGACCTGGAATGGTAATGTATATAGGTCACTCTGTACACCATAACGTATAACAGAAGAGTTATTCTATCCTGACTGATGCTGCTCTTGCCAAGAACTACAGCCTCCACGTCTCTGGCTGGTGTTGCCCTTGAAAATTATAAGGAGCATTGGACAGACCAATTGTGTTGGCTCTACCTGTTCTAAATTTGAGAGCATTTCTGCATCACAGACAGAGTAAATAGTGCCAAAAGACAGGAGAGGTGCCACATAGTAACTTTTTATTTTACAAGTGGGTAAAGAGCAGTGTTCTCTCTAAACTCCAGTTTTATGAACACAAGTATTTATACAGCTTATAAGGACTAATGATCATTGGTTCCTGATAATTAGAGGCTTTGCACTTAATGTTCTGCTCCTCTTTGAAATTCAGTTTGGTTAATATACTGTTCAAGGCAACTGTGACCACAAAGCAGCTAATACTCCTACTACAAGCTAAGAAAAAAATTAACTCCATGTGGCTGTTGTAAAAGGAAAAGCCACCACCCTTAGCACAGAAGACCAGAGAAAAAGTGCTATATTTTTTCCTACTCTGTACTTAGCAAGAGAGGCAAGAATTGAGACAACACAATGTCAGAAAACACCAGTTAAAGGACAAGCAACACAAAAGCTTGCAGAAACTGTTCCTTTTTCTTAGTTTAAAAGCTTGAAAAAACTGTTCCTTTTTCCTAGTTTACCATCCTTTCAAGGACTTCACTGCTTGTTACCCAGGTGATGTATCTTCCCATTGGAAGTCTTAAGTCTCATGCTAAAAATTAGCACATGTCAGAGAAATTTTAGGTGGTTTCCTGCTCTTTTTTTTTTGATTTTTGGAGGTCATATATGGACATGCTCACATTAAAACCAGACATAACATTTTTCCCTGTCAAAACCAGATCAAAAATTACATAAAGGAATAGATCTACCAAAACCATAAATTATTCAAAATGATTGGGTGCTGCAACAAAATTTTCTCCTTGCACCCAATCCTGTCTTATATCTGTATCTTAGTAAAACAGAGCTCAGTCTCCTTCACTTTTTTTCCTTCTTGTTGTCCCCAAAACACTTGCCTGCTCTTAGATGCTTCCCTTACCTGGGCTCACTCCTCCCTTATTTTGCTCTAGATTTCCCTATTCTGACCAACCATTTACATTTCTGATTTTAGCAACATTGACAACCCTCAGCTGTTTCTTCAACCTGTGTTTTCAGAGGTAGACCTAGAATAAACTGTTTATTCTTGTTCTTAGAAAACGCAAGAATTTTTACCCAAAAATTGTCCAAGGGGTCACAGAATTTGATGCAAAATGGGACAAGAGTAGCAGGGGATTTGTAGCCAAAAGCAACATTTACTAGCAAAGCTTTTAGTCAAGCCTTTCCTCACCTGCTTAAAACTTGTTGCCTTGGTGGAGACCAAGCATGGAATTTTAAATTCATCTAGAATTTTCTTTGGCTTTATTTCAGTGTCATTTTTTTCACATACAGAATATAAAAATATAAGTAATTTCAAGACATCCACCCCTAATCTGTTTTAGCTGAGCTGAGGGTGGCAGTGTATACTGGTTTCTCTAGCTCAATACACAATGAAGACTGCACTGTCTTTATGTCCATCTCTTTGCTTTGTTATTATTAACAGAAATATAGAACTCCAGGCAACAACTTTATAAAAATGCACCATTTTGCATAGCTTTTTTAGAAAAACCAAAACTCCTCTGTATCCAATACTGATTGTCATTTGCAATGTGAATGAAGCGTTTTATGGCTTTCATTTTTACATGCCTCTGATGAAAGTAATAGTACAATATTGGCACCCTATACCTAAATGTCAGAGCTTTGCTTTGTGGGGGTTTTAATATTTTGTTTAAATATTGAAGAGACACAAAATTGAAATCTGGAAATGCTATGTTTAAGTTCTTTCCTTTTACCTTCATACTACTTATAGCACAGCCATAACTTTTGCTATCAAGCCATTTGATCATTTTTGTATAGAACAGGGTGAGCAAATATTGGTAATTCAGCTTCTCAAACTAGACCTAAATCTTGGGCACCCTGTGTTGCATTTGAAGATGCCCAAAGTGGTTTGAAACAGACTGGCTCACACACTGGAAGCTTACCTTAATATAAATTCTTCTCATACTTCAGATATATTCCCAGTAACTTAGAGCTAAATCCTTAACTTAAGATGAGAATCTAAAGAGGCCTACAAGGACACAGGAACTTGAACCCAAGAGGCTTTCACCGACTCCAAATCCTTAAAATTGGCTCTGCCAGCTTTTCCCCTTTCTGAAAATGGCAATTGCAGTGCCCATGTCCAGACAGACTTGCTGCATCTCAGCCCCCTCTGGTCTACAGTCCACCTTCTGAAACCAGGGCTGAGGGACCCAAGCCCCAAGCACGATGTCCTTTCAGATAAACTCTTTCCAGTGCTGTTTTGACCAGAGGAGGCAGCTCCTTGCTCTGTGTTGATTTCTATCCTCCCCTCCTGAGGCTGTGAGCTGTCCAAAACAGGAATTTACAAGGCAGTCTGATGGCTGCCGATTCCTCTGCACTGGTCAGGCACAGAGAGAAATGTAGCCTTACTTTTAATAGCAGCTTAATCCACTGCAAGTTAAGATGATATAGCTATTTAAGGAATACAAAATTTATTCATTTAACCTGACTTTAAAACAAATACCTCCCTGTAAAGGCATTTCTGAACCTTCAAAGTACACAGCTGAGTTCAGATGAGAAAATTCAGAATTTCCTCACATAAATTCACCTTTAAATTTCTGAACACATATTCAAAATTTACTGGGTAATGTGAGTATCTTCATAGGCCAGCATGACCATCTTTTCCTTCACACAAGAACCTCATCTCATCTTGCTGGGCTTTATAGGGTTGATGTCTCTAGAAATGGTTCTGTTCAGAAGTAACTGTTCAATGCCAGCTTGGTAAGGTGTGGTTCCCTATGTATTGCCCTTCCCCATTTCAAACCCCACATCAAAATGTAGCTCCTTACACTCCATTCTTTTGGCACCGAGAAATCTAAAACAAAGCATGGAAAGAAAAGCAAAGTATGTGGAGTAACCCATCCATATCCCTTCTGACATTTCCATCACAAATGTGCGATTTTCACTTCACATTTTGCATCAAGTCTTTTTAAAGCACAGCCAACACTGAACCTTTACAAGCTAGGGACTACAAATCAGTTATGTCTGAACATATGACAAGTGGCTTACAGTTGCAATTCCCACTCTTGCAGAAGGTAACATCTCTCATTTGGAAAAACCACAGCAAACAAACAAGCCAACCTTCTGGGCAAAAGCATTTTTACACAGGAAGTTGGGGTTCTGAGTGAGCCAGAATTTTAGAAGCTGTACCTATGTGTCCAGATTCCAGTTCCTTCTTGCTCTCTCCTGTTCAGGAGAAAACATACCTGCATGGCACAATGCAAAGTACCTGTGTGTCTTCAGCTGTCCTGGGAGACTTCACACGACGTCAGACCCCTGGTGGGCCATCAGCTGGAGCGCTTCTGAGCCTGGACAGCCTTTCTTTCACACTTCAGTTGGCAAGGAAGAACATCTTGCCAAGTCTTCACCCTCCTTGGCCCATGCTGGGTGATTTCACAGTGAGCCAGCAATTACTCAGACTGGCGTGTTGTCAGGTCATGTGTCAGACACATTTATCTCATTTACAAGCAGAAGATTCTCCAATAAATAATTCAGATAGAAATAATCACCTTCATGGTCCATTTTCCCAAACCCAGGCTCTGTCTCTAACAGGCACCCACTGACCCCAGCGAGACATGTCAACTACAGAAGGAGCAATTTAAAAATCGTTGTGTGAGCACACAGACATCACCCCATGATTTTACTTACTCTAAAGGCAAACAGCAATCTGTTGCCCTAACCCTCAGTGAAATCACATGAGGTTTTCCTATCAACTTAAAATAGAGCTGGACTGAATCTAATAATCTGAACCCATAAAGTTCATCGTTCACAGGCTTTCATCATCACACCTAAAATGACCCACCTTTTGGAAGATACTTGTTATTTTCTACTCACCAGCCTCAGGGCACACTGGCTTCCACAAAGCATATAAAAATAGCAATAGCTACACTATGATATTGCCCAGCAAATCTAAGGGTAAAGGAGGAAAAATTATGTCAGAAATGTTTCCTTGATCCTTCCTTTCTTAAATGAGATTTGCCATACTTCGTAAATCCATGGCTAAGTCTGTTTTCTCCTCATTGATGCATGAATCTCAATAGTAAAACTATTAGGATGGTGCAGAGAACCTATTTCTTCATCTGTATGCTATCCCATGGGTTACCTTATTTTGTGCCAACAAAACAGCAGAAATTTTGTTAATTAGATTACACAGGATAATTTGGGCTAAATAACAACTCTGATGGAAGTGTTAAACCATAAGCCATTCCCCTAGCCTGTTTTTTCCTGTTGAGAATGGCTGGTGAGATTGGTGTAATTGTGAGGTCCAGCCCAAATCCCAATATCTGAAGGAAGATGTTTAGGAGCAAACACCACTCCATTTTTTTTCCATATTTTTTTTCTATATTTTTTAACTATATCTCCTAATCCAATTCAAAAGTATTATGATTCCTCCCAAACTATGCTTGAAGAACAGCAATTTTAAACACAGGAGGAATGCAGGAATAACTTCTAAACTTCACACGCAGAATTATGTCACAGATAAAAAATCTGTAGATTTTGTCTTTGCAGCAAGAGGCACAAGAGAGGACTGGTTTTCTGTTTGACTCTAAGCTGTCTAACTGGACATTTTCAGATTTGACATCTCACTTGCTTCAATTTCCAAAATCCACCATGAGACTCCCTGAAGGAAATTTGGCTCAGAGCAGGATGGCACCTGAACTGGACAAAATCTTCTGACATCTCCAGCTGCAGCCCTGTCCATACTCTCATTTACCAGTGAGATGAAGGTGAGTGCCCTCCAGCCAACTGGAGCCATTCCCAGCAAACCCAAGTGAAAAGTTCAGTCTGTACATGTAAAGTCTTGTAACCATTAAACACTTTGCCTGTTCCATCATTACACAGAACACAATGCTTAATTAGCTTTTGATTATCCATCCCATTACTGTAAATTAATATTAATAGGTTGCAATGATACTCAGTGTTGATGAAATTGGTCCCCTTATCTGGGTATGATAACAATACCCAGACACACAGACCAAAAGCCTCACTGTGAAAATCCAGAGTACACGGACACTGAGAGCAGGAAAACAGCTCTGGTTCCAGGTTCATGAATGGACTTTGTAAAGTCAGCCAAAGCCTCAATAGCTGAGTGTTTATTCTTGCACGTGTATGTAAAAGTAGATCTCAGCTCTGCAGTTTTAGTCCACCTTGGAGTTACCAAGTGTGATGGCATTTCATTGCCAATATAATTTTATAGAGGCAATGCTGTTAGGATGCAGCTTTGTTCACCACAGTTAACCATACTGTCTCAATTCATCATGCACCCACCAGACCATAAATCTGCTAATTAAAGAGAGACACATCTCCAGCTACAGTATTTGGACAGTACCTTCCTCCCAGGCATGGATTCAGTGATGTTTCTCTCATTGCACTGTGTCAGTTTGATGCTTTCACTGGTCACAGCTAATTAGGACTGAGTGAGTTGCGCTATAAAATGCTGATGTTAGAAGCAGCTCATACCCAACACAGGAGGCTGAGAGGAGCCTCCTGAAGGCACAGCAGTCTCCATAGCATCCTCTCTGTTTCCCTGACCATAGTCATCACTTTATACATCACCCTGAGACTGCTCCAGGAGCAAAGACAAAGCACAATTTGGATCAGGCTCAGCTGGTTCCAGTTCCAAGACTCACATCCATCTGCCGCAAAGTGCAGTGTATCAGATATGAAAACTTGGTAGGACAGGAGGTCTTTATCTGAACCCTACAGAAGGGACCATTTGACTTGGTGATCATTAAGCCACGTGCTGTTATCAATGCTGAAAGCCTGTGTGAGGACTGCCAGTATTGGCCATAGAAATTCCCTGCTCTTCTGTAATTATATCAGTGATAATAAGAGCCTTTAATGGGGATATTTATAATCTTTGGCCAATCCATCCTCTTTACTCCTTAGCCATTAACACATAAAGATCCTTACTTCTGCACAGGGAATTTATATTCCAACCACGTAAATTCCTCTAACGGTGCATTGTCTGATCCATCATTAGAGGGAAAATTCCAGCTCTGTTAAAATCAAGGAAAAGATCCTATGGGTGTCAATGGTCTTTGTATTAGGACCCCAAAAAAACTTCTTACTCCTGACAAAGCAGAGTAAATTTCCACAGACCAAGTGTTGTTGAGGCAACCTGTTAATACTGAAAAATCAAACACAATTCTTTCTCTTCCCATCTTCTCAGGTGTTGCCACATCAACTTGTCCCCTGTGGCAGTGATAAACCCTGGCACTAAGAGCACATGCATGCTGTCCACAGCTGAGCTGAAAGAGTCTTATGGAAGTCAGGTAATTTCAAGGCTTCTCCAGGCATCCCAGAGTGTCCTCTTAGTGAGCAATTTAAATTACTCTTTTTTAATATTTGAAAACTTTTAAACTAAAAAGCGCTTTTAAATGATCAGATATTTTGGCCTTAGGTGTGAGGCCATCTTGCAGTGCACACCCTGCATTCATTGTGCTATTTCTCCAAGGATGTGTTGTGCTACCCAGTTTCTCTCCTAACCAGCAACTTCACAAATTGACAAACTATAAGAAGGGCTTCTTCTGCAGAATGAAGAATCAATAGCTGTCTACTTGGATAGCCTCAAAAACTGCTTAACTTTTAATTGAATGCTGGAAAAGAAAATGCAAAGCACAAGAGCTCAAAACAGCATGAAGCCTGCATAATTATCTTTCTCCTTGCAGTTCCTCATGTGGGCTGGAGACTAATTAAACACATGTGCAGGCTACAAAATAATTTGCACGGATATATCTTTTGTCAGTTTGCAAGGGGACGTGAGCAGAAGGAAAGTACCAGCAAGGAACAGGAGCCACAGTGCCAGCTGTCTGATATTGTCATTTTCACTGCTACCTTTGCTTTAACTTCAACCATCTAGAGCAAAGACAAATTAGATTTTGCATCTGCTTTGCAATGAGACCAATAAAGTTCAAGGCAACAGTGAACTCAGGCTTCTAGAGTGGTATAAACACACACAAAGGAGTTTTGAAGCATTTTGATGCTTACTTCATGCACTACACAGATATATTTTTCCTTATAGAGCTACCTACCTTAATGTGAGCCTTTATATAACACAGAAATAAATTAAAATTAGCATTTTTCTTCCTTCTGGTGCAGAAACACAAAGCCAAGTAAAGCTTTTAATCTTAAAATCCCTTCTTTACTATTTATAATGTTAACAAACGTGATAAAACAGCCATTAAAAAACATATCTGTTTTTTAATGTAATACTTTTTAATGTAATACTTTTTAATACAATACTTTTGCAAAGTATTTCCCCAGCATACAAGCCCTACCTCCCTCTTCTCCCTCCTTTCTAGAAAGAAAGAAGATTTCAGCCTGTTCACCAGGGCCTTAAATCATGTCTCTTTTCATATCCAAAGTAAAAGCACCTGCCCAGGCTGGCTCTCAGCTGGCAGGATTGAATTATAGCCCAGCAACCATTGCCCTAATAGGAGGCAATATTATTAACTCTAATTCATTCACATCAGCATTGATCAGAAGCAGTTACTGAGTACCAGGAAAACACTGGGATGTCAGTACATGGCACTCAAGGCCAGTGTAATTACCACAGAAATGAAGGATGCTGTGACCAGTCCAAACAATTGTGTGTAATTATAATGGAAAGTTCTGATCTGCGGTGGATTTCACCCTGTGTGCACTGCATGAAGGCTCTCAAATCCAAAGGCTTCTGGTTTCTGTGAGTCTGCAGTCCCCAAAAAATTGTCAGCTACTCCATAAACCGTAGCTGGCAAGTACATTTTTAAGATGATGATGAAAATCTTCGAATTATATTTCCCACCAGTGAAGCACTGCTCAAAAACGGTGCTGCTCCAGGGTGTGCAAATTAAAATGAAACTTTCAGCTATGGCAGAGTGTGGCTCTGGCAGAATAGCTAAATGCCACTCCAGGATCCCAAGGGCTCTGGTGGAGCAAGACTGGAAAACTTTGGATGTGTTGTCAGTCTCTCTAAAAGCCATTAAACTTTTAGATAAGCAAAAGCCTGAAATCCCCAAGCAGAGGGACACCTTCCTGAAAACATTTGCTGTGAGAGGGGCTGTGGCAGAAGTTGGGATGGGTGAAATCTTCCAAGATAAATTAACCTTTCTCATCTTTACCAGCATTTGCACTCCATCATCATTTTAAAGCCTCCAGTGTAAATAAATGCACCACTGGATCCTGTCTCTGGTTCTCCTCCATTTTTCTATTCCTCTTCTTCTTGCCAACATTCCCGTTGTCTCTTCGTGCCTGGGGACGCACAGGAGGGGTTGTGGGAACATAACATGGGTGGATGACTGGTTTCTTTTGCTCTCACTCAAATGCTCTCTAGATGAAGCTCCTCTCACCAGCATCATTGCCCCACATCCCAGCAGGAACTTTCTGTCACCAAACTCCCTCATCCCCCTTTCCAAACCGCTGAAAGCAGGAGGGGACAGCGGTGACAAGAGGGCTGGCTGCTCACATGTGTCCTCACCGCGGCAAACTGCCTGGGGCCACCTCAGGCCACCAGAGCTGTCCGGGAGTTTCTCTCATTTCAGGTGTCCCCAGCTGTCCCTGAGCGGTTCCCAGCCCTTCCAGCTCAGCTCCAGTGGGGATGCACAGCTCCTGCCAGTCCCCGCAGCACGGCCAATGCTGCCACCCTAATGCAGAGCTGAGAATTACCTGCAGCAGGCAGGAGGAGAGAGCCTCTGCCCCTGCACTGAGTGCCCGCAGGGAACCAAGCAGGCCATGGCTGGAGGGTATTTTGTCCGAGATTTAAGAATAGGCATCAACAGCCTCCTGCAAGGCACGGGAGATTCTCGGAAAGGCATCCCAGGATGGGAAAAGAGATGCACAGTGTGAGAGATACAGCCCTGGCTGATGGGGAGCAGGGAGAAGAGAGGCCACTCGCCCTTCTCAGCCCCTGAGTGGTAAAACAAAGAATTGTTAAATTCTTATATGCTCTTTTTCACTGTCTAATAGTGTGAAAAATCGTTGAAGAGAAACCTTCAAAGCATATCTGGAAGAGCATGAAACCGATGGGAAAAGACCACTGTCATTTTTATCCATCCTAAATCATCAGGTAATGTGTTTTTTTTTATTTTTTTTATTTTTTTTAAAAAAAAGCCTAGAGATATGCAGAATAGCTGAAATAAATGCCGTTGCCTATTAGCTGAGTGTTTTTTCTCTGTGAGAGTCTCGGTAAGCGGTGCCCGGAGCAGCGGGGAGGCGCAAGGCAATGCTGACATCTACTGTCGGCAGCCCCGAAGCGCCCGCACCTCCTGCCCGCAGCCGCACCGAGAATCTGGGCTCCGGCTGGGCACGCATCAATAAACCGAGGAAATCTAACCCCGGCCGTGATGTGCCAACCCCAGAGAACGAGTGATCTGAAGCGCAAATATTTATAGAAGGGTGTATTGCACAGCTCTCCATTTTGTTACTGGGCTAAGGCACCTTCAAAGTACATATCCTCAGAGCAGGTAAACATTTGATTTCTTTAGGACACCCACAGGATTTTGGTGCATTAATTCGCTCCCCCTTCTGGACTTAATTTCTTTATGAAGTTTTACACTGTTTCTTTCATCCAATTAGAACTAAAATCTTCCCTTTTTTTTTTCATCATGGTGCAGATAGAAAACGTGTTTTATTCCCTGCAGCATGAAAGCATAAACTGCCAAAAAAAGCCCTGAAGATTACAAATGAAGCTTATAAAGGTGTTTGTACTTCTGCTACAGTCCTTGAATACTGTATCTGTAATAACAAGTGACATCCAGGAATCCCTTGTATTGTACCTTACAAGAGCCACCAATGGGGGGAGGAATAAACCTTGGAGCTGCAAACCAACTGCAATACTGAGAGGCTCAAGGAATTATTAGAAGCAGAGAAATTGTGTATAGCTGTGCATCTGTTAGGGAGAATAAGGAGCATTCACCCCTTCCACGCACAGCAGAGCAGGCAAAGTGGTTTTCAGCTGTGTGTCAAAAGGTTGTAAAAGTTTATTGCAAGATGAGCTATTCCTACTTGTATCTTAGTGGAGCAGTCTAATTAGAAGCAATTAATTTACTTATAAAGTGGTATTACAACCATTCCTTCCGGCATCTCCTCTGCTCACTGTGCAAAACAAGCAGCTATTGTTGCAAAGTAGGACAGACACTGGAAAAGATCCTGCTATTTCTGACATATCTCATCAAAAGTCGCTTGAAAATAAAAGAAGCCTTGGGTTTGTCTTTCCTCTCCCATCCTTATCTATATTCTGTGCTGGTATGCACGAGGCCCAGTTGGGGAGCATTGGCACAAAACTCTGTAAGATCAACACCCCATGAGCATTTTAACTAAAATACAAGGTGTATGTGGATAGGGATGGTGGCTTTGCTGTGACTCTGGGCTGGCCAGAATTTTTCTGATGGAAGAATTCATCAAGAGAAACTCCTCAGACAGGCTGGTAATGATGGTGGGGCTCTCTGGTATGCTGGAAAGCTTGAGCTAATCCCCTTCTGTTGCTTCATTTGGGCTCAAATCTCTTTACTGATTCTTCTTGTGTTGGTTAATTTAAAGGAGTAGCATTTTCTCCCTGCTTCAACAGTGTTTTATTCTCTTGAATAAGAAAGGGGGAACCTTGGAAAAAAAGATTTTTCAAGATAGAAAAGTGGTATCTAGATAGACACTTCCTTTTGCTTATATTCTAGCACCATCTGCCTCTTGCAAATGTGTTTACTGTACACAGGTACCATAAAGAGTTGTTTGTTTGTTGGGTGAGTGGGGTCGTGGTGCTGTCAGTATCCCAGCTGTATCTTTCTGGTTGGTTCTGTCTCCTTGCAGGAGCTCACAGGTTCCCTCTGCACAGGAGTAAAATAGCTTCTGTGCTGTTTTTATTAAGAAAAAATGTGTAGAGCCTCAGTGGGGTGAAGAACTTTGTTTTTGTGCCCTGGCTCAGAGCATTGAGCCCTACCTGCGTGCCAGGGCACTAAAACCAGCAGAGCAGAGACCAGGGCTGGCTGCTCTGGGGCAGGGACCCCCTCAGGGTTTGGGGGTGCCCACAGCTGCCACCTTCCAGCTTAAGGAGAGTTGGAGGGAACTATTTTGAAGCAAAAAATATAATCCCACTCTCTTTTTTAGTGCTTAAAGGTGCTGTGAGAGGGATGCTGCAGGGCATGTGTGAATGCCAGCATTTTATAGAAGGGGTAGTTTTACTGCCAGCAGACTTTAAAAAAAATCCCTGCAGTTTATATTAATAAGACTGGATGTTATTGCATGTCAGGAGTTATTGTGATTTATAAAGTACTTCTTACGTGGTGTGTAATGAAAACCCTTGGCTTTCAGTCCCAGTCACTAACGTGAGATGATAGCAGCTTTATCTGCAATAGCCAACTTGACCTGGAACCTTCTATCACTTTTAATGGTGCTTTAATGCTGCCTTTTGCTTTCACCTGAGTTTAGGATAACTTTTCATAAAGTGAAAAAATAGAAGAATCCTTTTAGAAAAAAAAAGAGCTGTTAAGGTGGAGAACTGCACTGCTTGTTACTAATGTCCCAAACAGCCCAGTTCTGTAAGTGCAGTGCTGCAGAGTTGGTCCTTTAATAACATGCTCTGTCTGCTCTTCCCAAGCCTCTCATTCAGGACTATTACTCTTCTCTTGAGAATTTCACATGTTTTAGAGATGACAAAAACATAGCAGGGGGAAAAAGGGGTAGAGATGAGTGTAAGTAGATGGGTCCACAGCTAGGAAATGGTTCCTGAGCATGCCTCTTGAAAAGAAACTTAGAAAACCAAACTGAACTAAAACCCCCACAAACCTATATTTAACACCAAAAGTGTGTTGCTGTGAGTGAAGAAGAGACTCTTTCAGATGGTGATTCCTAAGGACCATGCTGTATTATTTTTTATCCCAAAAGCATGTGTGTATATGCAGAAATTTAAGAAGCAACAGGCACAGGGCTCCTTTGTTACTTCCCTGTTGAGCTGTCTTATAATGGATTAGGTAAATTGTGGGTTCAGGTTGATAACTGGGCATCACCATCCTGCTATAATACAACCCAGCACAGAACTTTTGACCTGGCCATCATCTTTGCAACATGAGCTGTTTATTTTTAGTCCTATGGCATCCCCAGAGCTGGAACAAGTGGGAATTCCTGGAAAGGCAAAGAGCTTGGCAAACTCCCTGGGTCAGGAAAGGTGTCAGAAATGGCTCCAGCCTGAACAAAGCCCAGGACACATTAACACTGCTCTGGCTCCACAGGGCAGCAGGGAGAAGGTTAATTAAATATTTAATTAATCCAAAACAACTAATGTATCCTGCTGGCCTAAATGCAAAAGAGTTTCTGGGAATCTCCCTGCAGAGCTGCATTTTTCCGCTGTGCATGCTGCATGTGGATGGAGGGCTGCAGGCACAGCAGAACCCCCACCCTTGCCTCTCCCAAGTCCACTGGGGCAGCCTGTGAGCCAGCTTCAGGAAACAAGTGCAATAGCACTCTTTTCCAGGGGTAAAGAAAAGAGCTTTCCACCTAGGGGGCTGAAAAAATTCTCATAAATACCCAGAAATGTGGTCATTTTTGGCAGTGAAGTTGGGTGATGTCACTTGATCTGGTTTGGACATTTTGTCACTGAGCAGGGCTGTCCCCATCCTGCCTCACTGGATGTGGAAAAAGCTCTTGCTGGATTTTCACACCTGTAAAACCCCATGAGCTATTTTGCTGGCAGCTGGGACATGTGGGAAGGCTGGAAAAACCTGTCTGAATGGAATTGCTACTGGATAAATTGTAATTGTACTTGGCAATCCAGACTTTTAGGTTGTGCTTTCTTTATAACTAAACACAAGGCTAGGTCCAAGGCAGAAATATGATGTAAAAAGAAAATAAAAATAAAATACACATCTTTGGGTGATGACTGTCATCCTCCTTTGAGATGCAAAGGCACATCAGGAAAATGGCAAAGAATAGTTTTGTACAGAATCAGCATAGCAGCCACTAGAGCCAACTACAAGGGATGGTACAATTGCTTTAGAGAATGGCAAATATTTTACAGAGAGCCTCCCTCTGAAATGCAGGTGGAGAATGACCACAGATGCTTCCAGGAGACTTAATTGTCCTTGCCAGCAAGGCTCATTATCCATACATAAACATATGTGCTGCCTCTCAACAGCAAAGTGCAGTTTTTTTCAAAAGAGTATTTTAAATCTGAACTGCTTGAGTGTCAAATTGGTTCAGTCTGGCTTCATTTTAATTACAGCAGCCATTGGATCGTGCTGGTGGGTGAGGGAAGATGTGCTACTTCTGTAGGCAAGGGAAGATATGTTTGCAAAATTACTGCCTATAAAACACTGCTCTGTCTTTCAGCATCACTGCAAGAGTGAGAACAGAGGTCAGCAATGAGCCTTTCTGCCTGTGCCAATGGGGTTTTCCTCTGGGCCTCAGACAGGGCTATCTTCTTCAGAAAATGCTGCCTCTTGTTGATGGAAAGTGAGTGCTGGACCTTGGGTCTGCTGCCCTACAGCACCTGCAGCTCCTTTTACCAGAGCAGGCACGTGGAAAACACAGGTTAGACCAGTAATGGTGTTTAATCCTTATTCTGCATTTCTGTGAAGCACTGGAGAGCAGAGCCCTAGGGAAGCAGGCAATTTCCTGCAGGTATTTAATAAGGTATGGCAGGAAAATGAGGGGAGAGCAGCAGCTCTGGAGGCAGAATTAGCAGTGAAGGGGTTTTCTCCCCTCAGGCCTTGTTTCATCCACCTCACTGGTGATGAAGGTGAGGCCCAGGTACTTCAAAGCATGTGTAATGTTGGGAGTGGGCTCAGAAAGAGCTGCCTTTGAAGTGTGACTTGAGAATAAGTGGGTTGGGCATGGGACAAGAGGGGTGTCCTGACAAGTGGAACAATTTAGGTGGAAGGAGGGAATGGATTATTTTTTCTCCTAAGCTATTGTATCAATGCTAACCTGGAGACCTGTTCCCATCTCCTCATCCTGGCCAGACTTCTCAAATAATAGTTAACTGTGGTAGCAATCAGACTGCTGGGTATTCTAGTTGGTGAAGTAGAATTGGAAGGTGCCAGGACACAGGTACTGTCAGAGGGTGCTGGATGAGAAGGAGGATTATAAAGGGATGGTGGTTGCTCTCCTGGGAATGAACCATGGGCAGGAGTGAACCAAACCCATTTCAGCAAGCTGCACTTGGCTGGGGCACAATACCCTCAGCTTTCACAGCTCAGCAATCCTGCTCTTCACAGAAAATGAAATCAAATCACTGTGGTTGCTTTTCATGTACCTCAGCCCTTGGTGAAGGACCCTGGGGGCCCCACCACTGCAGCTCAGCAGCATACAGGGACACTGCTGACACACAACTTCTGTTGTTTCCTCAAAGCCTGAGCACACTCTGTTTTATTTTTTTTTATTTCCCAGGTCTGAAAAAGTTGCCCAGGACAGCACAGATGCCTATCTGGGTGAGATGCATCCTTGCATGAGCTTCTCCCATGAGCAGAATTGCAGGCTTTGCAAGCATTATTATTGGGGGTGTCTTCCTTCTTCAAAAAGCCAAGTCATCACATTTAAAAGTGAGTTTTTGGGGATGCCAAAACCCTTTTAAAAATCCCTCTGGTCCTTGTACTGTAAACTTAGCAGCAAAACCTTTGAGAATACAGGAATGGAAACTTGATGCCTGCAGCAATTCTCTCTAAGCTCATACCGTTTGTGAATAAAGGTTAATAATGTTTGAAACTCTTAAAACTCTGTTCATTTTCCCGTCCTTAGGCAAAGCAAAACAAACCACTACCAAAAAAACAACCCACCCTGTAAGTATTAATTCAGGAAAACAAGTAGCAGGTTTTGTCCCATCCACTGTCAACAACAGCAAACCAAAGTGTACAATCCAGCCCAGGCATTAAAACCATAACCAAGAAAGCCAAACTACAACTCACCAAGCAGTAACAGGTTAAAAACAAGAAGACCTGACAGTCCATCCTCATCCCCAACTCTTTTCTTGCCAGTGCCAGTGTTTAGGGGCTCTCATTCTTGCTGTTTCCAGCTAAAGGTGCTCAGCTTCCACGTTTTCCCTACTGCCATGAGCTTTTACTCACAAGATAGGAATTTTCAAACTCCAGTGGCACATTTAGAAAACAAGGTTGTTTTCCCAGATGGAGGCTGAAATCCCTAACACAAGCAAGGATAATCATTGAACCCACTGGGGACAAAACAATCACAAAAATACCCAACATGTTTCTAGCTCGCTCCTCATTAGTAAGACCTGAAAAACAGCACAAGCCCACAAAAAGAGTCCTCTGTACAAGGCAGGGAATATCTGAGCCCTGCTGGGTGATTCCTGCTCTTAGGGAGGAGTGGTGACTGCAGCCTCAAAGCTGGAGCTGAAAAGAGTTTGGGGGAGACAAGAAGGGATGTGGAACTAGAAGAGCTCCTGAGGTTAAGGGATGCTGCCAATGTCTTGCCCTTGTTTGGATTCCAAAACTCCCAGTATACAGGCTTCTATCCTGCATTCAAATTTTATGAGCCAAATCCTGCAGAAACAAAGTCAGTGGTTTTAAAGAAAAATCACCTCAAACTGGGACTTTTTATTGATCTGCTTGTTTTCCCTCTGGGTCTTCCAGCCTTGCTGAACCAGGGTTTTCCATAACCATGAGGGGTACACATTTTCCTCTAAAAGAAACCCTCTGAAATCACTTGGGGTGCTGACAAAATGCCTGATATTGGAGAGCTTTGGCATTAACAGCATTGACAGCTGTCAATCACCATCAGCTGCAGCCCGAGTCTGGGGTTTGTTAAGAGAACAGCGGCTTTGGTTTCAGAGTCTGCTGCACCCCACTTTGGTGTGTCCTGAGTGAAGGAGGGAGGAGTTTTTGGCTGTGTGTGGCTGTGGAGGTGTTTGATGGGTTCTGCTGTATTTATCCTTTGGGGAATTTGGAGGGCTGCTCTCCTGTGTTGGTGTTGCAAGCCTGGCACTGAGTGTCACTGGGGGCTGCTGCCCAAGGCATGTAGGGGCTGGCTTTTACAATGTGCCTTGAGTCCTGTCTTCATCCTCTAGGAGTGAATAGTATGTAATTAAGTACAATAATATTCCTTGCCTGTGATGGTTTGGCTTTTCCTCTTGCCTTGTTTGTTCCTAAAAGAGATAAACACCACAGTTATGATTCCAAAAACTTGAATCCTGTGCTCATCTTTCTGCAGCAGAACACTTGCAGAGCCCAATCTCAGAGCAGTCCCAGTCCTCACTTGTGTTAAAAGGTCATTAAAGACCCTAAACGTTCCCCAGCCTTGTGCTGGGGTGATTGACCTTCTGAGGAGTTCCCTTGGAGCTTCTGAAAATACTTTGTGTCAAAGGGAGCAGATCTCTGTGTTGAGGTAGGGACTAACAGGACATCAACAAGTAAATTAGACTGCTGGCCAAATTGGAGCTTGTGTCAGAACTGAGGTGGGTGACAACCAGGCACTGTTATTATTGTAGAAAATACCAGATCTGAGATTGTATCCCCCTGGCCCTGTTCCTCCAGGTGCTGGACAAAAAAAACCAAAAAAGTGTCTACTTGGAGTCTCATTCTGCTTAAGCAAGGAAGAGAATTGTTCCAGGTTATGGGACAGCCCTGCACAGAGCTAAGGCTGGACATGAGCTATGCCACTTGTCCTAGCAGAGCTTGCATGCAGCTCCTGTAACAGAACCAGCTGTAAAAATTTTTATGTAAAAATAATCTGCAGTTTCTTTTTTCAACTCTTCTTGGTCACTTTTTGATTTCCAAGGGGGCTTAGGTTCACCAGAACAGCTGTGGCTGCCCCTGGATCCCTGGAAGTGTCCAAGGCCAGGGACAGGGCTTGGAGCAACCTGGGATAGTGGAAGGTGTCCCTGGCCATGGCAGGAGGTGGAGCTGGATAAGCTTTAAGGTCCCTCCCAACCCAAACCATTGTGGGATTCTCTGACATCCCCTGAAAACACCAATTCTCGAGTGCCAGTGCAGCTGGGGCAAGCTGGCTCCAACATTTGGTCTGATGCCTCCAAAACACATCCTGTGTGCCAGCTGCTGCCCTGCTCCCCTCCCACATGCCTTCCTGGGGAGCACAGGCTGCAGCCTCCTCCAGGTGTGCTGCCAAAAGGCCTGTCCTCCTGTCTTGCATACAAATTGCTGCCATTGAGGGCTTTTTTTTCCCCCTTAGCCAAATTACTGTGAGAATTTCAATTTAGTAAGAGGAGAACCTCAGAAGTGTTAGCTTCTGTGTCCAGGGAGAGAGATTGCTGCTTTTAAGGTTTTCCTGAAAAGCTCAGGTGGCAGAAGGAAAGCCCACAAAGGAACCCAGGGCCAGCAGCTGGCCCAGCAGCCTCCTGCTTGGTTCCTCCCTGCCATTTTTGGGGATGCTCAAGTGCTGTTTCAGGGCACACCAACAATTTTTTCAATGCCAGCAAGCCTGCAAGGAAAGGCTGCTCTGTGTGGGTGATTATTTTATTTTCTTTCCTTTTTTTTCTTTTTTTTTTCTCCTCTTCCCACCCCAGCCAGAGCCTTGGCACAACTTCTGGCTCTCCTACGTTGCCATCTGACGGCAGCATGCGCCTTGTGTGGTGCTTGGCACCTCAGGCATGGCCTTGGGTGAGGAATGGTGAAGCCTCTGCCCTGCCTTAGGGATGCTTTAGCAGCCCTGGATTCATGTGTGATATCCCACCTGGGGCTTCTTCCCCCTGGGCCTGAATCAGGAGCTCTTCTCTACAGAGGAGGTAGCAGGAAAAGGAAATCCAAAATTCAGGTTTCTGCAAGATGCACTGTGCATGCACCAGCTTGCTTTCAGTGGCTGCAGGGGGATACCAGCACTGTTTTACCTCTTATTTTTGAGACCAGGCAGAGCTCACTCCTTTACTTGTCATTGCAAATGCATAACATCCAACTCTTCACCTCTTCTCTTACAGAAAATGCTTTAAAAATAATCTACTTTTTTTTTCTTTCCTTTTAACTGAAGGAGGCTCTTTTGTCACTCAAACATATTTGCTGGTTAGCTGCATGCATGTGTACTTCTGAATTTGCTTAGAGGGCTGTGATAATCCTTAAATCTGCTTTTAAGCCAGCTTGTTCTCCCCATCCTGTCTGCTGTGGGCAGCTTGTGGCAGCCTGAAGTTTAAACGGCTGGGGGCACTCAGGGATGGGCCATTACCACATTTCAGTGTTTCTCCTGAATGCTAGGAAAGGCCTCAGCAGGGGGAAAAAAAAAAATATTTGCATGCTTAATTAACTGACCAAGATAATTAATACATGCCCAGCTCCAGGCCTGCAGGGAAGGTACCAGAGTCAATGGATCCAGCTGTTATTTAACAGTGCAAAAGCTTTCCTGCTTTAGTGAGGTTAGGCATGCAGCAGGCTGATGTCTCTTGTAGGTGAAATATTTGGAAAAAGCCATCCCAACTCTGCTAGAACATCAGGAATCAGTGGATTTTTTGGACTACACAGGGCAGAGCTTGTTCCTGCCTGGCCCCACATGCCTGGGGCAGTGAGAAGCTTCTCCAGGTGCCTTTAGGAAAGTGCTGCTGGCTCAGGATCTGCCAAGCCTTCCCTGTGGGTAGACTGGAGTTGAAAAACAAGCAGGTTTGTTCCACACTGAACATGCCCACGTCTTGTCACACAAATGTGCAGCACGGATGAAAACAAAAAACAAGCTACAGATGGACACTGGCAACCTGTCGCTAAGCACAAGCCTCTAAATTCAAAATAAACATAATGCAGCAGCTCAGTGTGGTCTGAATGGCATCCATGAATTTCCATGGTGGGTATTGTAATGTCCTGATTCTTGTTTGCACCTGGGACTTTTCATCTGGGAATTCAGATTTCATCAGCGTGTAAGATAAATTCCTGAATGGGTCATAAAGTCTTGCATTGGTTGTTGGCTCTGTAGGGGAGAATCTGGGTGCTGATGAGGTTGAAGGCCCTTGGGAATCCTTGGAAGCTTGGCCAGAATTGGTTCCTGAAGGTGCCTTGGTCTGTCCTGAGACTTGCAGATGCTGCTTAGCTCATTCAAGAGAAGTTTCTTCAGTCACCTAGAACAAAGACACCACAACTTCAAGGGCCTTCAAAAAGATGATTCCCATTCCTGTGTCACCCTGCAGTTCAGAGTTTTTTCCTTAAGGCCTCTCCTTGGCCTCTGTTGCTGCAGGTGGCAGCTCCTGCTTGCCCTGTCCCACAGGCAAGCCTGGAGAGGAGGCAGCTCTCCCCAGGAGGTCTGACAGGCTGCACACAACAGAAACAGCCAAAGGGAACCATGCAAATGTTGTTTTCCTGATTTCTGGAGGGCAGGAGCTGAGGCAGCAAAGGCATTTCTCTAGAACTGAAGCTCCTCTGGGCTGCCTCCCATGCAAAATTTTTTCGGGAGGCACTTAAGATTTAATTCCAGCTGCCAAGGCTTTCTTCTCCTACCCAAGGAGATAAGAGCAGCTGCACTTGGCCAGACCCAAGCTCCCTCTTCCCTGGTGTTTGGTCTTTGGCTGATGAGAGCTCAGAGGTAGCTGAGGAGGCAAAAGCAGCCACGTTTCCTCACCTGACCTCCCCATCAGCCACATATCACCTGCCTGTGGCTGCCAGAGCACCAAAAACCCCAGTGCCTGCCTCTCCTTGGAAAGAACTCCCAAACGGGCACAGCAAAATCAAGAGAGCCAAAGAGCTGTGGTGGAGGCCCTGTGAAGCTCACAGAGCTCTGAGTAATTAATTGTGTGGCACATGGGTCTGTGTGTGTGCCAGAGT